CTGCCACAAGCATTCGCCGCTACATGTGATCTCCCATCTAAATATAGCTGGACGTCCACTAATGCATTGGCGACACCAAAGGCAGGATGGGCCTCACTGAAGGACTTCACCCATGTTGTCTACAAAGGCCAACACCTTGTCTATGCTACAGACCACGACACAGGAACCTCCTATGGCTCAATGAACTTCGGGCTCTTCACAAACTGGTCCGACATGGCCTCAGCCAGCCAAAACAAGATGACTTCAGCCACCATTGCCCCTACACTCTTCTACTTCGCTCCAAAGAGTATCTGGATCATGGCCCATCAATGGGGCCCAACCGCTTTCTCTTACAAGACATCAAGCGACCCAACCAATGCGAACGGTTGGTCAGCATCGCAGCCCCTCTTCTCGGGCACGATCTCTGGCTCGATCTCTGGCTCTAGCACCGGCCCCATCGACCAAACCGTCATCGGCGACAGCAAAAACATGTATCTCTTCTTCGCAGGAGACAACGGCAAAATCTACAGATCCAGCATGCCAATCGGTAATTTCCCCGGAAATTTCGGCACAGCATCAACCGTAGTCCTTAGCGACACAACCAACAACATCTTTGAAGCAGTTCAGGTCTACACCGTAGCAGGTCAAAACAAGTACCTCATGATCGTCGAAGCAATCGGATCAAATGGGCGATACTTCCGCTCATTCACCGCTACAAGTCTCAGCGGTACATGGACCCCACAGGCTGCGACTGAGGCGGCGCCGTTCGCTGGAAAGGCAAACAGTGGTGCCACTTGGACTAACGATATCAGTCATGGAGATTTGATTCGCAGCAACCCGGATCAGACGATGACGATTGATCCATGTAACTTGCAGATGCTGTACCAGGGAAAGAACCCTTCCTCCAACGGCAACTACGACACTCAGCCTTACCGCCCTGGAGTTTTGACTCTCAAGAAGTAGAGTGTGAAGCGTATCGTAGCGCTTGTGGAAGTTTGAATCTGGCGAGCAAGGAGGGTAGGGGGCGAGGGGATGGTGTTGAGAGTCTTAGTCGAACAAGACTCGAAAATTTGCCTTTCTATTTTTTATTGTATTTATTATTGATTGTACATATTGGAACACGTACATATTCTGTCTCCAAATCTTATATTTGCCTTTTTGCCTGTGATTTGCCTGTTTCAAGATGCACTCATTTGCCACAGCACGTCATCGATAGAGAGAGAGGATGTCGCTCTTGCATTTTTGATACACGAATATGTAGACAACGAAGCCAAGCAATGTGACCTGTGTGTGGTGTTAAAATTCTGATATTTTGATGGTTCTCGTGTCCACCACATAGCCTGAATAATTTCTATCCAAATCCATTCCGATACCATCCAGCACCGCGGTGCACCCAAACTAGACCCAATACACCAATACATCAACTGCGCCTAGATTTCCGATATCTATTACCAAACCATATAATCTGCTGCGGATCGACCGTTATATTTATAGGAAGGAGGATGAACGGTAGAGGTCGGGGATGATTGGCAGTGGTAGTGGAGTGAGTCAAAATAAACCTTTAAGCTTATACATAAACATGGCGGACGAATTCATCTCCATGCGACTTTGTGGATACTCTGATGGCTTATCAATGCTTTCTAAAGTTGGGACCATTCTTTCGGTCCGGTTAGTAAATGATTAATAAGGCGGGGGCATTGAGGATCTTGTGAGTGGAAATTTGAGTCTCCACAGTTCCCTCCATTCCGTCTGTCTGTGCATCATTAAGAATTTTCTGTCGTTTCAAAACTCCGCCACGCTCTTGATGAACTTGAATGGACTTGATGAACCTGATGAACCTGATGAACCTGATGAACCTGATGAACTTGATGAACTTCATGAATCATGACGTTGGCTGAGCCCATACAACCCTGACTCCCTTCTCTCCTGCGTCGATGACGCTCCCCTCTCTCTTCTGACTGTAATTCATGTTAGATCTACGTTAGACAGCAGAGTCCATGGATATTTCAGACTTTTCCGAGCATTGTACGACGCTGTCTGAGGCGAGTCAGGTGACGAGGCCCATAGAATGTTCGTATTGGTCGGATTGGTCGGATTGTCCCATCATACTTTGATTGAATGATAACATGACGGCACTTAATCGGTACTGGCAATTTTGATGGGCGCCGACAAGCAGATCCTTGCGTGCGTCAATGTCCTTTCGGCATTATTATTTTTTGACGAGGCTTTGCCGATGTCACAATCAAGCGGTTGAGGCTCGAACCAAAAGATATTGTGGACCATAACTCTTAATTCTTCAAAATCAACGCAAGATCCATGAGTTTGACGCGTGGAATGCCATCTCGGTATCCCCCTTTGCTTTGTCAGATAAGAAAATTGCTTTGTTAAAGTTGCGAAGAACTCACCGATGCGACATGATCCTCAAAATCGAGTTTATATGCTCCACTGAATGCCCGAGTCGGCGGGAGAGATGGTTCTAGATAGACCCAGGGTCGATCGACAGTATATGGGACAGTGTTCATATAAGTTCACCTACGACTTCATCCAATTCTCTGTTCTACTCACCACTACATTCTTTCGTTCTTTCACACCCTCATCTGTCTATCAATCCAAACGATCATGTATCGTGCACTCTCCACGCTTGCTCTAGCCTCTTTGGCTGCAGCTAGCACCGACTCTACCTTGACTTATGATTATATTGTTATTGGTGCTGGAACCAGTGGTCTAGTCATCGCAAACCGTTTATCCGAGTTGAATGTCACTGTGGCTGTCATTGAGGCAGGTGATTCGGGTTACAACAATCCCAATGTGACAAACCCGTCCGGTTATGGATTGTCTTTTGGAACAGAAATCGATTGGGCGTATCAATCGACCAACCAAAAGTATGCAGGAAACATGAGCCAAATCTTACGAGCTGGAAAAATCATCGGAGGGACCAGTACTATCAATGGTATGCTTCCTCATTAAATCATTCAAGACATTTCTAATATAATCAGGAATGGCATACACGCGAGCGGAAGATGTTCAAATTGATGCTTGGGCGGCCATTGGAAATGATGGATGGAACTGGGAAACTCTTTTCCCATACTACAAAAAGTCTCAGGCACTCACAATCCCTACTACTGCTCAAGCTGAAGCTGGTGCAACATATGACGCCTCAGCGAATGGATTTGATGGACCGCTGAAGGTTGGCTGGCTCAATAGCTTGGAAGATACTAACAACTTCCACGCAACCTTGAATGATACATTTGCAGCTCTCGGTGTTCCTTCAAATGATGATGTCAATACGGGTAGAATGGTTGGTTACAATCGATACCCAGCTACTTACGACAGAACATTGAACATTCGTCATGACGCGGGACGAGCATATTATTACCCAATTGCCAACCGCACCAATCTTCATCTTTACCCAAATACTATGGCTCAACGACTCACATGGAGATCCAACACTGATACCCCTACCGCAAATGGAGTCGAAGTTCTTCCCAACAACTCAAGTATTCCATACACTATTCGTGCAAACTCCGAAGTCATTCTTTCAGCTGGAGCTCTAGCATCTCCTCTTCTTCTCGAACTTTCCGGTATTGGAAACCCTTCCATCTTGAGCAAGCACAATATCTCAGTTGTAGTTGATCTTCCAACTGTCGGAGAAAATCTTCAAGATCAAACAAATACTGGCCTTGCATACAGCAGTTCAGCCAATACCGCTTTCCCCGGAGCCGGAACCTTGGTAGCTTATCCTTCCGCAGCCCAGGTATTTGGTTCTGAAATTCAAAATATCTCGGCTCATGTTCTTCAATCTCTTCCTTCATATGCTGCTCAAGTATCAGCTGCATCAGGTAACATCACCAAAGCTGCAGATTTGTTGAAATTCTTCAAAATTCAACATGATCTGATTTTCTCAACTACTCACCCAGTTCCAATGGCTGAAATCCTCATCTCACCATCCGCAACAGCTTTCAGTTCGGAATATTGGGCCTTGTTACCATTTGCAAGGGGAAGTATTCACATCACATCTTCCGTAGCTGGCACACCCGCAGCTATCAATCCAAATTATTTCATGCTTGATTGGGATGTCACATCACAAATCGCTACGGCCAAGTTTATTCGCTCCATTTATGCGGCTTCTCCATTGTCCTCTTTCGTCGGACCAGAGACCAAGCCTGGATTGAACACATTATCAGCCAATGCCACGGAGGTGGAATGGTTTGAATGGGCTAAAACTGTTTATCGTTCAAACTTCCATCCAGTATCAACGGCTGCAATGATGCCAAGAGAGATTGGTGGAGTGGTAGACTCAAGGTTGAAGGTATATGGAACGGCGAATGTGAGAGTTGTGGATGCCAGTATATTACCTATGCAGGTCTCTGGACATTTAGTTAGTACTTTGTATGCTGTGGCAGAGAGAGCAGCAGATTTGATCAAGGAAGACATGTAGATGTCTCGCAGTTCAAGGCAGGATGATGCCCGGTATGATGTTCTTAGCATTCAGTACCGTCGCCATAACATTCAAAGAACTTAGTGTATATACTTTTACAATTTACTTTTTAATTTTCATGCTCACATCACCCAGTCACCTCTGTGATCATATGCTCAACAGATTTTGTTTCGGCGGAAGAAGGGATTCTCAATATGAGAGTTTGCGTGATATTAAACCAAGTGATATTTCCTTAGGCTAGTCGCCCAGCAGCACCCCGCAAGTTCTAGGTTCTGATAGCACATCCCCCTGAGGCTTCAAACTCTGCTATTGGAAAAAGATTTAGAGAGCTGTGAACATGGGGTTGTTTGGTATCTTCTACGACATTTGGACAATTGTTACAGTTTCATTGTAGCATCTCAGACTGTATACTTAAGACGATTGTTCTGTGAGAATCTCCTCCGGTTAAACTTTAAGGATTTTTTATGACTAAAAAATTTGTGTTAAAAAAGTAAGATTTTTTTTTAAATGTTTCCAAGCATCAGATCTTCATTGTCAGCCACATAGCTTCATCGCGAAAAACTGTCCAATTGGAAAATTCATTTCATTCTTGTAGAACTTTATGATCTACGTTTATGTTTTCTTGTTTTGGTTTTCGACCATATACAACATAGCTATAATATCAGTCCCTGTACATAAAATTGAGGACAATAACTCACAATGGATAGTACGGATGTTTTCTCCTATTTTTGATTTCCTTTTTTACTTCTCCCAGAAATTTTTTGATGTCGTCTAGACTCCAGCCAAGTTTATCAAGGGAACGAATACTCATACCTTCTAGTCCAATCATGAAGTTTTCCTGTTCAAAAGCCCCGATCAACTTTAATCGTGGATCTTTCGGCCATGGATTTGAAGGAATCTTGTATTTCTTTTCCACAACAGCTTCGAACCCAGCTTTTTCGAACCATTTCTTGAATGAAGCTGGATCTTCTAGAGGGGTTCCGAATGCAACTGCTGCGGCTCTAATATGCTTATCATATTCGCGGAATTTACTGTCAGGGGGTAATGTATCGTCATCGCAGCCTAAAACACCATGAATTGATTGGAACTCTATCCAACCACCGGGTTTAATGTGACTAAATAGTTAGAACTTGTCTAATGTCCGAGGAAGAGACTTACTCATAGCATTGAGAAATCAAATCCGGCCAGTTCCTGACTGAGAAAAGTAAATCTCTAGCGAAAACAAAATCGAAATTATCCTTCTTCCATGTCCAAGGCTGAGTGATATCGTCGACTTGGAATTGGCAATTTGGCGGAGCCCTAAAAACGAGTCAGATCAAAGATATCTGTAAGTTTTGCTTTACCAATTCACGACGTTGCAGAGAGGCCTTACCAAATGGGTTGTATCGGAGCAATATCTATTCCCACGACCTTTTCAAGGTCAGATTATCTTCATCATTTTGAATATGATTGGGAACTCACCTCAGCTGATGGATAAGCATCAGCAAAATCAACACTCCAAGCTCCTGATCGTAGTCAGTATCTGTTTGTTTTGGTGTGACCTTAGAATTGCACAGAAAGCTAACCAGTTCCGGTACCAAGGTCTAGGACCTTTTGGACACCTGTATCAATAGGTGCTAAGAATCGTTTCTTTTCAAGAAGCATGAAATACTTCGCATGCGCCATATCGATTCGGTCCATCTCTACTTCGTCCATTGGCATTCCATACTCTTTCAAAAGTCAGCACTCTAAAAAGCAGTATATGCACATCAGAAATTAATCTTTACCTTCCTGACCATATACAGCATACGTTCTTCCATTCTCTTCTACTCCCTTTATGATGCTTGAAGTCAGCGACGCGAGAGAGCTCCTTGCATCTTCTCCGACGTCTGCTCCCTGCTGTTGTCATTATCTAGAATCATTCCGCATTATTCATGAACGAACCTCATCAACAAAATCACCATCCCCAGGCTCGATGAAGTTTCGTTCTGACATTGATTATCTCAACTGTTGCAACAATCTTCGCATCATTCAAAAGCATATTGTGGGTATCTTACAGTATTTATTACAAAAGCCGCTAGAAGATTTCCCCCCACAGTTTGAGCTTCTAGAACTAGAAAGGATATCCGTTCTTTCTTGGGTTTTCACAACCATGTTATTGCGATGGTAATTCAGTGACGTCCTTGTGGATTTCTGATGAGTTTTTCGGGACGGCTCGATCTCTCCCTGCCCCCGAGCTTGTGGCTGGGAAGCGACAAGGTATATTCGGGATATGGATTTGAATCCGGTAGCACATCCGTTCTTAACAAATATTCCACGATCGACCGTCAGCAAGATTGGGTTATCCCCACTTCAAACTGTTGGATCCCCACATCATGTTGACTTAATGACGTGGCGCTTCAAAAAGTTCGAAATAAACGTCCTCCGTCTTAACTACCCAAGTACATAGCATGATCTTCCTTATATCCGTCAACTAATCAGCAGCAGTTCTGTGGATTTGCAACGACGTTTGAAATCGACATGGATTCTTTCCAAAACTATTCAGAATTGTCGCAAACTGCTGATGAAATATCAACCAAAGTCAAGAATTTTGACGGCAATCATCATGCCAGAACCGAACTTCTCAAACAGATTGACAAACTTCGACTTCTGCTTGAGGAGCCAATTGACGCAGTGATGCGGCAATGGGAATACGTGCGTCTCAGCTCTTATGACGGGTAGATAGTCACTTTAAGTTAATCATGCTAATATAATATAGACAAATGTCATTGCTGCTCTCAATCTTTTAGTTGAAACAAAAACATTCGAGACAATTCCGCAAGAAGGATCAATCACGACAAAGGACCTTGCTGCAGCAGTCAATGTAGACGAATCTGCCATTGGTTCGTTGTTCCACTAATAGACACATCCCATGGAATCGAACTGACTCTTCTCAAGCCCGTGCATTAAGAATGTCTGTCATGTTTGGTATTGGAGAAGAGGTAAAGTCAGATGTTTTTGCGCACAATAGTAAATCTCTTGCATACCGACCCGGTTTCCAACAAGAATTCTTCAAACTCATGTAAGTTATAGAAGCCAATGACCTCCCTAATCACCCTTCCCCCTCTTCCCTACCTGCTCCTTGATTACTTAGAAAATTCCTGATGATCTAGTTATGACCATACTCCCGCATATATCAAGCTCCCAGAATACTTCCGAACTCATTCTAAAGAAGATCTTTACGATCTGACAAAGGGACCATACGCCTATGGCCATGGATTAGAAGGAAAAACTTATTATGAAGCAATTTCTCATACTCCAGAGCGTCTACATATGTTTAATACGACCATGGTATCCATGGAAAGACAATCTCCAATCACCGGCATGTATCCATTCGCTACACTCAAGGACGAAGTTGAAGCGGAAAGAGCGAGACCATTTGTGGTGGACATCGGAGGTGGAAGAGGCCAAGCTTTGATTGCCATTCAAAAAGAAGCACCTGAAGGTTTTGGGGCAAAGATGATTCTTCAGGATAGATCAGAGGTTCTGGAAAGTTTAACTGAGCAAGATATTCCTAATATTGAGAAAATGGTTTATGATTTTCATACACCCCAACCTGTTAAAAGTAAGTTACTCACTATATTTCATTCACGTGGATCAGCTTAGACGGGTTATGTGATCGGTTAAAGGAGTGCATTTGGGGAACGTCAGAGATAGAAGTACGGTGGTTGAAAGACTTAATGATTTGGTGCAGAAACCCAGATGGAAATGGAAATCTAACACAAAATAGATGCTCATGTCTACTTCATCCGACGCATCCTCCATGATTTTTATGAACCAGTCTGCGTTCAACTTCTCAAAAATATCGCATCGGCTATGGGTCCTACATCCCGCGTGGTGATTGCTGACATGATACGATCAGAGAAGACTGATATAGGTGGTGAAATGATGATTTATTGGATGGACTTTTGTATGATGATGTTAAATGGAAAGGAGAAGAGTGAAAAAGAGTTCAGAGAGATTATTGATGCAGCTGGATTGGAGGTTATCAAAATCTGGAGGTATCCAGTTGGAACGCAGGCACAGATCGAGTGTCGACTGAAAAGAGTATAAATAATAAAGTATTGGCTATACTATCTACATAGTAATAGGTAGCTCAATCGATAGATTGGGTGTTCTAATTTTCTGGACCCTATCTATGTATGATACTTCAAGTTGTATGAAAATATCACAATGTAATAGTTGAAGAGAAGACAGAGAAATGAATAATAGTAAATCATGTCATACGAAAATTATCGGCTTACTTACAAAAGGGGTAAAAAGTATAAAATCTACATAATTTATTCTTAACAGAAAGACTTAAAATTCAAGACGAAGAGATTAAAACAAAGATATTTTTATGGTCATTTAGTTATATTTCAAGATCTGGAACTCAATTAAAGCAAAACGTGTTTTTATTATTTTTACTCTAGAAACGATTTTCTAGATTTTTTTTTCAACTCTTGACTCCTAATAAACCATCTTATAAATGAAAAGATATTTTTTTATTTCAAATTTCTGTTAGGTCTCGTGATAAGTAACCAAATACTCGCTAGTATCCAGTCTTACCCATCAAACAAAGCAACAAAGCAAAAGAACAAAGAAAAAGATGAAGAAACTCCGCTGGAATCCTCTCGAAGACTGACCGTTACGTAAGCATTGCTCGCAATACTCGACCCATATGGGATCTTGACCGTTCCAGGAGGGGGTCGTTCGTCCAGATGCGCAATCGCTGCATGGGGTTCCGATGAATTGGTGGCTGAATCCACCGCAGCAGCAACACTTGACTACCTCATAGTCACAGTAGTTGCACTGCTCTTGGTAACCTGACATGTTTGAGGATTTGGATTCAAGATTTTGATTGTTTATCTTGTGAGTGTTCTGAAGGTTTGAAGATGCTGCTGAGAGAATCTTATGATGCGATTTTTACAGATATAAATACAAATCTGTCTGGGATTGTTCACTGACTATTCTCTTATAGTTCCCATTGAATAATGGCCTAGTTTCATGCGGCTGGAGAATTACATACCAACTTGAGTCTTTTTAGATATTGTTCACATAAGATGGGATCATGATGTTGTTGTCTAGTCATTATAGCAAGCACCGCAAGGTTTCAAGAGAGTTTGTAAGTCAGAAAATATCTCACAGATTCAGCGTACACGTTTCCAAAGGGATGAGAGGAGTCTCGCTATTGAATCTAACGCAAGCAATTCACAGAGAGTTGCAAGACTTGAAGACCAGCGATGACTGGATGGAGCAAAATGGGGGAGAGTAACAAGAGACAAGGAGGACAGTAAACAATCACAGGAGCTTTATGTAACGAATTCGTTCCTGAGGGTGTCGAGACAGAGACGACGAGTTTGAATTTGAAACTCAGACATTAAAAAGTCCAAGTGACTAACAAAAACCAATACATTACAATGTCCCACAGACAAACAGAACCAGAAGGTGCCCGCTCACGAACGAACGATTTAGGAAACCATCAAAACCCAACGAGTATCCAAAAAAACAGGGCTAGAGTGCAAAATAGACAACCATTCTAAATCTACAAATATACTTGCGAAACCGACACATCCAACAGACTAAGGCGCGGCGACCATGATCGTGAGCTCAGCTTGAGTCATCAGGAATTCACAATCCATTATCTGAGATTCACTTGACGATTATTTCGCTAGTAGGTATTTAGAGTACATCTATTCTTCTTCAGTTGCAATAGCGGGAAACACTGGTCATTTAGTCTAGAACATGTCACGTATTTAATTCCTGACCATCTTAATACTCTATTCCCAATGCCTCTGCCTTGCTTAACCCAAAGCTATCGAAGCGCGTGCAGTGGCAAAGAAAACCAGCATCAGAAGCTCATCTCCAAATCGCCCCACTCGCCCTCTAATTCTTTGATACCACAAGAATGTGATTCTCGGAATGCTAATTCTTGTATCCAAATCCCTATCATGGTATAACACACCATCGCGGTCTGTGAAAGCAGCATGCAGCATGTCTTCAAACTCCTTTCTTTTATCCTCCCAGAGCGAGCACTCCCTAAAGCCCCTCTCGCCTTGTCCTATATCATCTGCTGGGTCTTCCTCCTCGGTATATTTATTTTTCTCATCTCCACCTCCTAAGAAATAAATATTGTATTCTTCGTCCTCCTCCTCATCTCCCTCCTCGTCGTCATCAGTCTCGAGTGGTTTTCCATGTTGCTTGCGTATTAGTTTTTCGATCCTCATAGATCTCCTTTCAGTGAGGTAATGTCTCCTGGGTCCGGACTCCACATATTTTCTAGGTCTCAAAGGCCGGAGTTGAAGAGCGGATTTCCTCATACAATATTTGAGCAGATTCTCAGGCTTGGCCCACAAAAATATGATCTCCTTCAGGTTAGGAAAGACGCGAGCAATTTTGTAAATTTCGTTGCTATCAAAATAAGGCCAACTTAAAGGATCGAGAATGGCAACTCGGATACTCTCTTTTTCAATGGTGCTGAGCTCGTAAATCACTCTCTCGAAACCACGGAGCGAATGCCCTCCGATCTTGTCCCGTTGAGATTATAGAAGACTGTCCTCGAGAGAATTGATGGTGGTTCTGGGACTGACATGATAGAACTGAATGACGTAAGACCTTATTTAATGTCAGTACATCACCACTACCATTGCATTTTTGAGTACAAAGATCTTACAGGAATGTGCAGTCTATGCAGAGTGACCGGGCCGGAACGCTTTTTCTTGGTGAATTTCAGAAGTCAACGTTTTGTTGCACCGGGAAAAAAACTGGAATCCGGATGGAGTGAGGAATTGAAGATTGTTGCAAAACAGAAGGGAGGGGTTTAATTTATATGCTCGAGCCACCTTTGCTTGTCGGGGTCAAATAGCAAATATCTTAAACGAAAACTTTGAATGAGCATCTGAGAAGTGAGCGGTGTGTAAAGCAATAAGTATCCGAAACAAGCAAAATTCTTCGTGTATGATCCTTTTCAAACAAGCAACCAGCACAAAAGAAGCCCGTGACTTAGATATAATATCTCAGTATCTATTAGTATCACCAAATCCACTAAACTGATTTATACATCTGATTGCAAAATTCCTTGTCCTTATGATGTAAAGTTTGTAGAAGATGCGAAGTAGCTGGGGTTATGTCTCTTGATTAAGTGTTTTAAAACCTGACATCCTTCATAGATGCGAATATGAGGCAGGCTGAAAAACGCTTGCAAAGTAAGATCTTACATTCCCCAACAGACAAAGCTCAAAAAATACAACTAGACATCCCGCAGGATTCACGGAGAAAATTCCAACCATTTTCAATTTTCAATTTTCAATTTTCAAAGTCAAAAATGAGCAACCAGCTTGCTCTTCACTCGAAGCAATGAAGCTCGCCATCTATGATCTCCCAAACCATAGCTTTGTCAGTTATCATTCACCTCGTCTTACACAGTGACAACACAGGTTCTTTCTCGCCTTGGTCAAAGTCAAAGTAAAAAACGACATCTCAGAGACTACCGTTACATTGCTGTTGAAAGTACCAAAATCTCGAACAAAAATAATCTCCAACTTATCACAGCAAAAGCGCTTCATAGCTCGAATTTTCAAGCCACTTTTCACGGATACTCAACGCCAGAAATTACAACCATCTCGCAAATTAAGAAAAGTCAAGTCGTTTTCATGTCTCAAATTGCGAAAGCATCCAAATGGAGTTTCAAAGGGGTACTATATAATGGCGGACCTCCAGCTTATCATATGCATCCCATATACGCCGCGATGGCCAATTTTACCCAATTTTACCCAATTACACTTTTATACAATTACCTTTACATTGAACTCGAGCTTTCTGTCTAAAACTCACCTCCAGAATGTAAAACACCACCCACAACTTTTCCCAGAACTCCCCTAATCCCATTCCTATTCTCTCCTACACATGTAAAAACAACCGCCGTCCCCCAAGCAAAAATTGCTCTCTCAATCCACTGCTCCTCCCATTTATACCTCCTCGGCAGAAGTGTAGCTAATGCTCTTGGTGCTACAAATAATCCCATCTCTTCCCTCCTCTTTGCACTTTCTATAAGTACACTCCATCCACACATCCAACATCCGGTTCCTATACAATATCCTGAATCGATGGCTTGGCAGGCGTGGGGAGATGTACCAAGGATTTGGGGACCGAATTTAGTACGAGTCAGACAGATGCCATAGTAGAAAAGTGTTATGAAAGTAGAGAGAAAGGTCGAAGAACGAGCTGATGATTTGAGGGCATGAGTAAGAGCTTTTTTCGAAACTTTTGGGTTACGGAAAATAAGTGCCAAGTTTAGTGGCAGATACATTGAAGCAGACCAAATAAAAGATTTATAAAATCTAGACACCGCATGGAATTCACAGCTTGGACCAGCACCCATGTGGACCAATTCACAGGGGAATGGGATGGATTTTGTAGGGTCCCCATACTCTTCTGGTAGACCATAATCTTTGCACATATCTCCTAGGAGATGTGCTTGACCTGTTTCGACTCCATATTTTAGTTCACCATAACGACAATAGCGGAGAGCTTTTAGTAGACGAGAATCCACTTGAGCGGCGGATTTAATCCATTTGTTGTAGGCGCTAGGAAGACGAGCGGGGGTGTAAATGAAAGCCCACATTATTAGAGCGCAGGATGTGGCGAACAAAGCTGGGTCTGTGAGGGATGAGATTGTTCTGTCTACCTAGTGTCCAAGTCAGCAGTGCATTTAGAGGCTATTCGAGTATGAAAACTTACCCTCGACCACCTGCCAGAAAATTGCCGCCGGCTCTTCCGTCTAGCCCATAACTCCCCAACTATGCAATCGACAGCTCGAGTAAAAGCGAATAATGTCAAGTCTAAAGTTCTTCCCGCAAACCGAGTAGGGCGTAATTCGATTCCATTTTTGGTTTCATATGGTAGATCTTCAGTGAAGGTTTTACTTGGACGGGATTGAAGTAATTTGAGACTGAAGTAAGCTGATATGAAGGTTGAAAGATAGCGAGTGAGCCTAGAAAATCTTATATCAGCATGGAGAGTCGGAAATGAATTCCACTGCCACAACGATCTATACGGGAGGTGGGACTGGTTAGGATATTATGTATAGCATTCAATGCTAAGCCCATTCTTCCTCTCACTCGAAGTTGGTGAAGCCCATTCTACATTACAGAAATCCAACAAACCTGAGCTGGGTAATCACAGATAGATTTCCCAATAACCTCTCAAACAATTCCCGTAAAGGAATCTAGATCGGCAGTCAGCATCATCCTCATCGTTCACCATGACCAACTCTCACGTGCCTGTAATAAAGTACTGCCTCCGACCAGCGCCGCACAAAATGTTGGAAACCTTTGTATCTCTAAACCCCCTTTCAAAATTCCAACTAACGAAGTCCAGAAATAACCTTCACCATCGGGTCTTGGGTCAATGTTCTTCCGATGTCGACTCAAGTGAAGCAGAAAAAGCGTCAACAGTCTTGGTCCTGCGCTTGATGCATAACCTAAGATGTAAGCTCGAAATAGCGGTCGTAGTATGATCGGAATTGCTGCATCCAAACTTTGATACGGCTTCCTCAATGGGGATTCTTGCATTTTGTAGTCAATAGTCTTTGGGCATCAAAATCTCTAGCTGTGTAACTGTGCAAGATCAGCATTACTATCCCAAGAAGCAGACACTAAATCTGCACTCGCCGCAAAGGATTGAATTATATCGTCATATGATGTAAACAAGGTTCAGAGAGAGCACAAATTAGAAGACATATGGTTAGCCTTGCGATGTCTTGTCAAAAGAGGTATTTACCGACATGATAAGGTGACATTACAACTGCATGTTACTTGAATGCAGATGGGCCGACTCGATAATAATACATATGTAGAGGGGGCTCGAGGGGGGAAATCATACCTAGCTCGGTTGAATGAATTAAACCTATTGAGGGTGGTGTATACCCGTTTTAGGTATTTACCCCCGGAATGATGGTTTGATGAAAATGCGGAGGAAGATGGAGAAGGTAAAATCCCCGTGCCGCAGATGTTTTTGACCTCGGCGCGAAAGGATTCAGGGAATTTGACGAGAGGAAGAACAACGAAAGACAAAGAAAGGTACGGCAGTAGTAAAGAATTAAAAATTAAGGATACACAAGTAGTGTGAAGATTGGATGACTGATTGACACGTTCAATCGCGGCGATGATAAGATGTTGGGATATCTTGATTGTTTCACTGCAGGACTGAAGTATGCAATTTGAATGCATTCGTTGACCTGCTTGCCAGCTTGCTTGGTACCGAATTTGAAAGCTAGGATGACGAACGCCACATTGAGAAATATGCAACGTTTCCAGGTTATGTGAAGAAACAGTATTGACACCGAGATTGGAATTGGGAATGCCGACACGGCTCAACACTTGATACCGGCTCGGAAATGGTCAAGATTGAGATTGAAGTGGACCTAGGTATAGGTTTTTTTTTTGGCTCAAGTGGGAGGGAGGAGGTGAGGACAGGATTTAATTCCTGCAAGTAATGATGATCAATTCGCAAACAGAGTCATGTTTGTTGTACCAAAAGAGCCGAATGAGGGAGGGGTCACTGATGCAGGTACGATGATACGGAAAGTGGTGTTGAATTATCGATGCTGGTGGGTAGATGTAGGGGGGGGTGATATGCGATGGGAGATGGGAGATGTGAGATGTGAGATGTAAGATGTATGATGTGAAGTTTTGAGATGAGGTACTTTGTAGAGTGGTCTACTGATGGTGATGAATAGGTTAGTGCTGAATGGATTGGACTGGTAGGTTTGTGAGTACTAGTGAAGTATGTTGAAGTAGTTCTGTACGATAAGATGATAGATTTATTCCTCCTTTCTCAATTCAGCAAGTGAATAGTAAATGTAAGGAGGAAGTCAGTACTAGGTCTGTACTAATAAGTAGGTATTATTGAGAATGTCTCATACTCTCTCTCTTTAGCTTCTCACATCTAGGGTCACGCGTCTCTCTCCTTGAATCATTTGTTCCCCTCAATTTCCCCAGCTACTACTGGTATTAAGTGTCTTGTTATTTTCATCACACTTCACTTCATACTTGACATTGCACATCCAACTTGTATTTCACACCTCACTCACATTTACTAGGTAATTAGACTGGGGCTCGCCATTCCTTGCCTTTTGCATTTGTATGGACGGCATGTACCGATATCAATTCCCACACACACGCTACCTAGGTACATATGTATCATGGACTGAGTAATGAACGAGATAAATACAGATTCTTTCATCACATCACATTACGAAGAAAAGAGGCATGCGAGCGTGCCTAGGTAAAACGGCCCCACATGATATTAGTGATATATTAGTTCAGTTAGTGAGGTTAGTGTACGTTGAAAAAAGACCGGGCGTAGGTAGGAGTAGGAAGGGAAGGGAAGGGGGCTCGAGGGGGGGAAGGGAAGAATGAAAAGAAAAGAAAAGAGTAGAAAAGAGTAATCCGTCTGCGAAATTGACATGTGATTGTTCTATGACCCTTCTCTCCAAACAAGCGTCCACCAGTGGTGGCCCATACCACAATACAATCATGATCCGACCTAGTCCCAGTGAAGTGTGATCCCAGGGAACGGTGGACGGCGGACGGCATGAATAACGGCATGAACATCCACAAGATCATCAACACTAAGAAGAACTAGAAAATCAATTCTATTATACATAGCACGTCGAGCCTTGAATACATGGTAGCTAGCTACCGAGTATGCGATAGCTATACGTACACAGGAACATTCGTAGAGTACTCGCTCAAGTAGTCCTAAATCTTCCGAAGGGTCAAGCTTCATGTGTCTTGTCTTGTCCATTTACTATGCCCTGCTAGCTAGCTGCTATGTCTTTGCTCTGCCTTGCCGTGTCATCCTACCCGTTGCTCATTCTCTCTTTGGCTTGGTTTGACTTGACTTGACTTGACTTGACTTGACCTGACTTGACCTCACTTCACTCCAACAGTAACAATCTCCTCACATTGAATCAAAATCAGCTTGGCCCACATGGAAACTCTCGGAAACAAGATTCTACTCCAAGATAGATATCTGATGTCAATTGTTCTCTCGTGTGCCACGTTGGAAATTCCAGTCTATCTCAATCAAAAGTTACTTACGGAGTAGAGATGCAAATACCTAGGTAAATAGGTAGCTACCGATACTTCGCTTCGTATTCTAACCTAGGATGCATATATATATATATATATATATATATATATATATATGTTTATATATATATATATGTTTATATATATATCTGTTACCCATAATTATAGTTGTATTTAAACCAAATATATAAAAAGAACATCTAGTCATCAGTAGACAGCAGACTTGTCAATCGAAAAGTTGCGCTGTTCTTTGATAAATCTATTTGCTCCTTGTCTTCTTTTGTCCTTGTCCTTCTTCTCTTCCACCTCCTCTCCCCTCTCCCCTCCTCCAAGGAAATTCAAGCCGAGAAAGCTCGATCTCTCTTCGTGGACCCTTTCTTTCCCTTACCCCAAAGAGAAACCTTGAAAGGATCAGCCCCCCCGGAGCCCCCCTCATACCTAACACCTACCTACCAGGTACCTAAGCTTGCCATCAAAAAATTGATTCTTGGTCTGTTCCCCACCACAAGGCCAATGAGGAAAGCTTTCCCAGCACTCTTACTCTACTCTCACGCTCACGCTCACGCTCACTCACACTCTCTTCCAATATCTTTCTTTGATTCGGAATAATACATTCATTCGTTCACTCAATTTAATGTTCCTCAAATCATTGATTCCTTCTTCCTTTCGAATAAGGATCATGGAGGAGTGAGATAAGTCTTCGCCCTTTGTTAACTCACGTATATTTTTTTTCCGATCTCTCTCAAACAACCTGCATCCTATCGACGAGTCGTACCTTTCTGGAGGAAGTAAACAAATACTAGGTTGATATCACACGGAATACATCATTGAGCTATCGGTCACACAGCTATCTAATAACGCCGAATCGCAAAAAAAAAACCCCCCTATCATTTTGTACATATTTGATACTGGAATCCTCGATACTCAATCCTCGATACTCAATGGTCAATACTTTATATCCTCACTAAATTCCCTCGGGATCTCTTCTCACGAATCTTCTTTTTCAATTAATTTCTTTTGGCACTCATGCTTGCGATTCAACGTCTTAATATGGGTTCGTCGAAGCCACCCGAACTTGATATGCCATTTGGCTGTGAGTATCTCTTTATACTTCTCAATATGTACCTGGTTACAAAATATACATGCTAATATGATGGGTCAGACGCATTTGATTCAAACTCCACTTTTCCTTTCCCTTCACCTACAGCTCCAGCACCAGGTCCGCCATTACTCGATGATAGCGAATCCAACCTTCTCGATACTTTCTTTGACGGAGTAAGCTCTGATCATTTTAATTACGACTTCTTCTCAAATACACAAGATGGAGGAGAGCTTGGAGGAGGGTGGGAAGAATTACCCCCGGCATTTATGGGAACGAGGGTTACTTTTGATCAACAACCTCAGCTTTCGAATCCAATGTCCTTGAATTTCGGTGATAGGAATACCGGAATGCATCCACCATTCTCTCAAGCACCTTTCTCACATTTGCCACCTTCGACTGAATCCGCAGATGTTTTAGCAGCTGCTACCGTGTTACAAAACGGATCAAATGCTCGATCACATAGTTTAAGCAGTGAAACTTTATTTGGAAATCATGGCTTACCATCGCATCCGGGAAATCATCACGTCAGACCACAATCCATGTCGCATTACCCTACTCCAACATCAGGACTGGATAGACCTCGAGATGGATTTATGCGCGATACTTTATATACCGAAATGATGTTTGGACCGAATCATGCCGGCCCGGACTTGATGAGAAGACCAAAACCCGTTCCTCAAAAAGTCGACATAAGATGGGGTTCTGATGCAGGATTTGGATCACCACAAGGATTTGTTCCACCACCAAATGTAGCAAAAGTCGACGAAGCGGAACGACAAAGATTGCAGGCATTCGATGGATTTATTGGGGCAGCTCTATGTGCGGAAAGTAGTGCGGAAAACACGAGACCGAACAGTCCGACAATGCAAAAGAATTTACCACCGCAACGACGGCAAAGCTCGGGAGTTGTCAAGGAAGAAGATACGGAGCCACCAAAGAAGCGACGAAAGAGTAAATTTAGTCCTGTTGAAGACGCGAGAGAAGACGATGAGGAACCACAGCCTAAAGTGGACGGTAGGAAAAAGAGGAAATCCGTGGTGAAAGTTAGTGGGAGTTCCCCAGGACCATCGGAAGCAGGTCACAAACGACGAAAATCTACTTCGGCTGCGGCAAAATCTACCAGAGAAAATTTAACAGAAGATCAAAAGAGAGAGAATCATATCAAGAGTGAACAAAAACGAAGGACTCTAATTCGAGAAGGATTTGAGGATTTAGGGGAATTAGTACCAGGGCTACGAGGTGGTGGGTTCAGTAAGAGTGCGATCTTGGTAATGACGGCCGATTGGTTAGAGGAGTTGATGCAAGGAAATGAAGCTCTACGGAATAAGATCGATGCTGCGAAAGGCAGATGAGATTGAGGGACGAGTTATTGATCACTGTTCTTGCGCATGATCATTCCCACAGTAAAATCCTGGAAAGGGGCCATCAAATTTCGACAGCAAACTGATCCGAATTCCTGGAGTGAAAATGGGAGGGCATGAAGTGTCCATGGAGTTTGGTGTTTGGTTCTATGGGGAATTCAGAGACCGTACGCAATGAGTAGCTTCCAGTCTCTCTAGCATACAGGGTTTGAGGCGAAATAAAGATACCACGTGGAAATGATGGACATATCATACCAGATCTGCAATCATCTTGTGGAAAAGGAAATGAATTTAATTGGTAGTAAGGACTACCTAGTTGGTTATCAATGAGGGAATAAGCACACACTGCACAGTAGCAGTATAGCAATGAATTATAAAAGTTCAATCAGATTAAGTTGGAGCTTAAACGTATACATTCCCATTGATTATGCTCTGTAAGGAAATCCAAGCTGAGCAGATTTCACTTTTAACGTTTCTAGCAATTTTTGTATTTTCGATTCCTATTTGCATTATGTTCTATTTATGAAATTTTGAATTGCATTACACCAACTCAAGCCTTTTCTTACCGAAATATCTCTCACTCTTACTTGTCAAATCCAATTTCCTGCTATCAGTTTAATCCAAGTATGCTCTTTCAAACTCAGCTTGTCGTCATAATCTTATCTTTGGCATTAGCATAAGAATACCAAACCATCAATATACATTCAAGGTGCTACATGGATATTTCCAGAAAAAAGAAAAAAAGTAAAAAAAAAGTAAAATACCATCCATCTGCAATATAAGAACAGTCTTGTTTTTTATACGATTGATGAGGCAGATGTACTTTGCTATTGGGTTTGATACTGGGCTGTGGGCTGTGGGCTGTTCATAAATTGATATTGGGTTGGGAGTTAATGGGAGGAGCTGGAGCGTGGTATGGTATGGTGGATGGTATAGTGGATACTCTTGGATTAGATTTTGTTTGGATTTTGTGGATTGGTATTGAGATGTTGATATTTGGATGAGATCTTATGGTGGATGAGATCTTATGGTGGATGGTGGATGATCTAGTAGATTAGTCTCTTATGTGCATCGAATATCATTGAGTGAGATGTTCATGAGACTGTGATGATTTATCTTTCTTTGTATGCATAGATAGTATACTTTGAGGACTTGTACGATTTTGGGGTTGAAAGGTAAATAAGAGAGGATAATTTTGTTTTATGTGTTTTCTGTGATGTTTCGGAGCGTAGCGGAAGAATATATACAATATCTTTGTTACTGTATATAAGAACTTGCGCAGTCACCCCTTTTTTTTAACTGATATGTCTTCCTCTGGGGTGGCAATTTGTATGGCGGTCTTCTTATTGTACTTTCATTTCTGACCCAAAATTCCTTCTGTAACATTGTCATTGTCATTGCTATTAGCGTGATATATATCCACAGATCATAGCTACCCATCCATTTCAGTTGCAGTCGCAGTCGCACTGCCAATCCACAAGATTGCAATCGCCATCGCAACTGACTAAAACTTATCTTTGACATCCTACCCAGAAAATCCACACACATCCAGATCTTCCATAGGTACCTAGCCAGTGAATTCCTCAAATCAGAATTAGAAGACTCTTGAGAATGAATTTCAATACACCTCGGGATACCTCCCTAGTACCTCAAGCTCTCTTGCGAAACATCACACATGATGAATGAGTTGGAAGCGAAAATGAGGTTACGTCTTGGTTGTGAATGGGATTTTGAACCGGTGATCGAGGGGAGGGGTAGGTAGATGAATATGTTGTTAATTAGGTACGTCTAGTATACCTGTATGCATCATGCGGAATATTCATCAGGCTCATCTTGTTAGTATGTGAATGATTTATTTGATGCGCACACTTGACTTGAGTTTCTGTTGATTGTAGAGTTTTGTGGAATTTAATTCGTGCGTCTATGTAGCACCTTGTAACTAATTTTGTAGAGTATCATGATCTTTGTTACTATTTGACATCGAGGTCTTAATCAGAGTATATGATATATGATATTATAGATCTTTCAACCAGGGTTTTAAACACTCTCGCACGTGTTTAATATAAGATGAATGCAGATTAGGTATATATTGATCAGAATCGATAATCTAGGATAATTCGACTAGAATCGAGATGCAATTTTTCGGGTGGGAATCGAATTTCGCCTAAACCATTAGATCTCTCGTTTACTTCGAAAGCGACGAGATGATGGGTCTGTAAGATTCGAGGATTGTAAGGTAGGAATATAAGAGAAGGGTATCTATCGCAAACCATCAAGTCTATTATAATAAGTAAATAAAGTCTCTGTAGTGATGGAAGCCGTGGGGGAAACTCTCTAAGGATTAGTCACTTGTATGTTATCACAAACTGAACCGTGAGGATATTTACTATAAACTATTTCCGTCTGGCTCATAACACGATCGAGCTATCTTCCCAACTATAGCTGTCCGTGTCTAAATGATCTCATGCGATGTCTTTCGGCACACAATGAATAATTCGCCTATCATTCGTATATGTACGAGTATAAAATAAAATAAAAATGAACAAACGTCACATCACCACAATTATTCACTCCACTCCACTTTATTATCCCTTACTAATCTTCCCACATCAGCCAATAACATCCTGAATTCCCCACTAACCCCTCCAAAAAGCCGAGTTATCAATACCTACCTATCCTACCTTTCAATATCAATATCCTAATCCCGAAATCCACTCCTCCTCCCAAAACTTTCCTCCTTCTCGCTTTCAAAGTCTACCTACATTTGAATCGCAATCCCCCTCCGCAACCATGGTTCTCGTCCACATCGTCCTCTTCGAATTCAAACCTTCCACTCACAAAGATCAAATCGACGAAGTATGATAATCTCCCCTTCTCCCTTGACCCGCCAAGCCTACCCAAATAACATGATCACCCATCCCATCCCAACTCCTCTCCTTTCCTCAAAATATCAACTAACGAAACAAAAAACCAAAGCTATGCAAACATATGCTCTCCCTCTCAACTCTCTGCTTACACCCGGAATCTCATAAACCGTATATTCTCGAATCTTCGGGGGGGAGGGATAATTCGCCAGAGGGCCATCAAGTAGTGTTACACCCTGCTTTTTATGTTACTTCCTATTACATCTCATCCCATCTCATCTTATCCCATCTCATCTTATCTCATCTTATCACATCTCATCACATCCCATCTCATCGTTAAAATCACCATTCTATACCTCCGATCCCGCCCTTCTTCCCAACATCCCTTGTCTCACTCGTCTAATTTCTTAATCCCCCCCTCCATCTCCTCTCCTTTCCTTTCCTTCTTACCTTTCCTTGTTACCCTACCTCATCTCACTCCACATTCCCAAACATCATCCAAGTATCACCTAACTAATACTCTACTCCTCCTCCAAGGGCGGTTTCTCCCACGGCTTTGTGTTTCATTTCGCATCCACCGCCGATCGAGATTACTATGTGAATGAAGACCCAGCACATCAAGAGTTTGTCAAGAAAGCGGGAGGGATAGTGCAGAATGTTAGAGTTGTGGATTATGAAATGGGTGCTTTCTAGAGAGCGGAGTTGGGGTTGTGGAAGTCGAGTGATGGAAGGGGTGGGATTGGAGATGTAGGGGATGATGGTAATGGAAACGTGATATGTATACCAATGATATAAATGCAAGAACTGAGACGGAAGAAATGAATAGTGCTAAAGACGATTAGAAGCGAGAAACATTTGACAAAAATTCATTACTGTCATGAAACTTTGTCTGCATTAAGTATCGATATGCTGTACAACTATATGCAAAGTCTATCCTGCCTGTGAGGTATCACTGTCCCTAATTGCCAATCCGAAAAAGTATACCACCGGAGCGTGCTTATACGCAGGTCGGTTCCCTCCAACGCCAACCGAAACGCCATCCAATGCATGCCCATGCTTATGCCCATTATATCACAAATCTAATACTGTCGTATTTATCGTATCATCAATTATAAACCCTTGGAAGCTCTCTTTTCTGCTTCTCGTGCTGCTGATTCGTCTTTTGTCATGAATGATTCACCGCATCCACAGGATTTGTCTGTGCATTGTTAGTCGGAATGGCCAATGAATGAGATGACATTGAATGAGAGATATAGTGGAACTTACCGATATTTGGATTGTCGAAAACGAACTTTGCGCTTAGTCTATCCTCGACCCAATCCATTGTGCTACCAATAATCTTGAGCTGTGCGGTTGGATCAATGAGAACTTTGACACCATCCTGCTCATGAACAATATCGCTGAGGGCACCTTTCTCAACATATTTCAAGTCATAAGCCGAACCACTACATCCACGGGCTGCGACACTGATCTTGATGAGTTTCGCTTCAGGTTGATTGCTCAAATCGCGCAAAACTTCGACGGCTCGTGGGGTAAGGGTGATGGTTTTCTTAAGAGGAACAAAGTTGAACTGTCGCCTCTTCTTTACAGGCTTTGACTTTTGGGCTTCCGCTTCGGTGACACCAATCGAAGGTGGGCGAGTGTCGTGAACTTGTGGAATGCCTCCGGTGATGGACGTTTCCGGAAGAGCGGCTTCGCGGGCTGGTGGTGGTGGCGGAGGGGTGGAGAGAGTATATGTTTGCCAGGTACTGGTTTGCATCTTGCGTTTTGCCTCAGCGCCTGCGACTCGGGAAGAAGAGAATTGACGAATGATGTGTGAACATTGTCGTAGAGGGGCCGATGGTTGTGATGAGGCAAATCTGAAAATGATGGGCGCTGATGATGTCAGAGGAGCAACCGCTCTTTGTAAAGACATGTTGAGGGCAGGTCTGACTATCGATATGTTGAAGTCAAAGTATTGGGTGGAAGAATGATATATTAAAGGGTTTGAGATGTTATGTTAAGGGTTGTTAATCACATTTGTAGTATTCTTAGAATCCTTTCACTTCCTACCTAGCCTGTTCTTAGAAATCATGGGCTCACTCAAAGTTCAGTTCGGCTCAGGTCGGGTCGGATCATAGTTTTACCGAACCAATGGTAATGGATCTATTGTAAGCAATTCAAAGACAGTACAGATGAATCACAAATGATACATACTAGGTATTCATATGGTATGACCAAGATTCACTGAAGCTGACAAAAGCAAGAACTTTTGAGGTAATGGGAGGAAAATTAGACGTTTACCAGAACATCGAATAAATCCATCTCAAGGAAGGGAGGGACCTTCACTCCAAAACCAGGTCTTCTCAAAGAAAGTCCTTCGTCCAATAAGAAACCACAAAGTTTATCGGGAGTGCACTATACTTCTTAATGATTAGTGCTGTACACTTATCGGCCGCCGGCTAATGAAGCTACCACATAACCCATAACCATAACCCATAACCCATTCCCTAAATCTGGGGCTTTTTGACTACGTAAGGAGGTAAGGCCAGAGCACATCCATAATAAATTTAATTAAAGATATTCCATCATTTGCGACATAAGGAAAATCCATCCTCGAACCATTCATATTCTATAGTCTCTCCTCCCCCCCCCCTTTGCATTGAGGATATATCAATTGCTGCCATGAAGTATGGAGCCATCTCCTCTTACTCAACAAGCTCGCCCTGAAGTATTCCAACAAAAGATTGTAGAGTTGTACGAGGCTCTATTCAAGGTGGGTTCGGACTGATGTTCCGCATTTCATACAGTGCTGTGTCGCATTCTGCTCATACTGATGAACAAATAGGATGAAGACGACCCTGATAAATCGGAAGGGTTCTGGAAGGAATTCTTCCTGTTGCGACCGAATAAAGCCACCTTGCAAACTATTCTAAATCAATTTAGTGCCGACGATTTGCTGCATCTTCAGGTATGGGGGAACGCAGGGAAATACACATAAGCCAATACTGATTATTGTAGATACAAACTAGACAACTGTTTTCAAGGGCAGTAGGATGTATAAAGGCAGGAAATCATCCAGCAGATGCACATGCGCTTGATGTATGATAATGCCCCTGGGTTTGTTTGACAAGGCTGACAATTTCAGACCATTACAGCCTTCTTAGCAGCAGTCCTATCAAAGAAATACACAAACCCAAGTTCGGATATAATAAGTGTTCTTGCAGGATTAGATCATGTAGATGCGATATTTACAGATTTTGTTGCAGCATTAGATGTCACAATTCGAACAGGGAGGAATTGTAGGTACACCATTCAGAAACAGGGAGAACATCACTGAAAATCGTTACCCAGTGGATATTCGTCGCAAAGCTATTGAAGCAGCATTATCAGTGACTTCAGGCGCATATCAAACCAGTTTACTTTCTTATTTCACGCATCGGGATCTTTTCCCTTCTCTTATGAAAGTATGATCTTCCTTTCTGCGCATCCCAACTAAACTGACGTCTGTAGTTTATTCAAGATTCAGATACCACTTCACTCACATTCGAACCGTTTACTCTTCTAGGACTCTTAGTTAATTACAACAAATTCGAATTTCAAAACCCTTACAGATTACGACTTGATGATTTTGTTAACGAAGGAACTATACAAAAGATAATTCGCTCGGTGGGCCATACATGTACGACATCCAGGGCTAAATATATTGCGATTCAAGATGATATACCGGAAGTATGGTCAATTGGAAGCACTTTGAGTATGATAGGGTTGGGAGCAATTGCTCCGGGTTCTAAACCAGCGACTCCAGCACTTGACCCAGATGCTGCAAAGGAAATGTTCTCAAAATTGTAGGTTAAGACGGAGCTTATGTGAAATCATACTAACAGTTTCATAGACCTGGCAGCGAAGCAGCTGTTTTACTAGCTACGTACGACTTTACACACGCGAACAAGCTGTTTTGCTTTAATTTGGTATCAATACCCGTGGAGAAAGGAGTCGAACACCCCCTCAGTGCCTACCTATCATATACCTCATACATACTTCAACATGCGCATCTATCCTCTCGAACCGGTTTCTATGCGCGTACCAACCTCATCGTTCTCCGAATATTGATCGAAGATCAAGTACTATGCAAAAAGATATGTAGCGAGGAAAGCAAAATGCCAGTCCGGTTATGTCGACAAAGACAGCCATTTTTACCTTTGGTTCGCGCCGATAGGATATTTGCTGCTTATATGCTGGATGTCGCAATAGATGGTATAAATCATAACCTCCGAAAGAGACTAGATGTGGATCTCTATATTCTATGTGTGGGAATCATCTTACGAATCATCTCACACCTTTCACGATCTCGAACACGCCTCACGTACCACTGGTCTGAATTATTCCGATCCCTACTTGCACTTGTGAGATTCCTTACCACTTATACAACGGACTTAAAGAATCTCCTAAACATCGAAATACTTCTTGATGACGTGGTCAACCTCATTGCGTTGTCATTATCCGCCGGAGAAGCATTCCTGCCCAGTCCTGCGGCATACGACGACCTGTTTTATAAATTGGTAGAAACTGGGGAGGTACTGGTGAAATTTCGAGATAATTACAATCTTGGAAAACGTCCGAAGAGTTCGATAGATATATTGATCAGTGTCACTACGCACTATAATCAATTACTTACGGATGGATCAACTGGAAAGAGGAAACACCTTACAAGTGTACAAGTTGCGGGGGTAATCAAGCAAGGATACGAAACTTTGAGCATTCAAGCCAAAGAAGGACTGGATGGATGGGAAAGATATAGAGAAGCGGATGAGAAGACGTTCTTGAAGAAGATGGCTAGGACTGCTGTGGCAGATGTCAAAGTTCTTGTTAGTGAAATTTAATCTTGATGGAAGAAGATACCACGAATTGTATATTAATTCAACGATTTACCTTGTGTATACCCATGTACTTTTAATTCTCAAAACCTTAGTGGAATGATACCTTCAATTAAACTTTCTGACCACCCAAACTCAGGCCTGCCCCATAACAGGCATGCATATGTATAACATGCGAAGTAACTGACTGCATCTTTCCATGATCCGTCTAATCGCCCAATGCCGTGGTGGATAGTATGAATAGGTCAAACCAATCCACAATTTATGGCACAGCGCTAAACGAGGGGGTACTTCAAACCAATGAGATCTGATAATGAGGTTCAAAGATGGAAACATGATGAATTGATTGGTTAATTTGACATTTGAGGATTTCTTGCATCGGTACTCGTATACATGGTAAATTGAAATATCCGACGTCTGTCACTACCTACTGGGAAGTATACTCTAACTGTACTCTACTCAGCTGTGTAACAATCAAGTGGTTGGATATTACTGGGCCTAACTACCGGTGGGGTTTCATGCCATGTTGTTCTAGCGTCCTCGAGGCGTTCCAGGCTAAAAATGAAGGGTCACGAGTTCTGATTTGTCGCTTTGGACAACCCTTCCTTTTATCTTTTTGTCTTCACTGGATATCGTTGCATCCTTTGAGATTTTGAAGACTCAGCTAATTATATTCATCATATGCATTGTATGAAGAGGTTTGAGGATACGAAAGTTACGAAAGAAAGAGGCCTTTGTTGTGGTCTAAGACCCTGCCTTAATGATGTCTCTGATTTACTCTGACCTTCAGGTTAATATGGTCACTGAGTGGCTGAGTTTCTGGTTTGCAAAGTCATAACTTCACACGATGATTGATGAATAACAGCAAGAGAGCTCGAGAGACAATACCTTTGGCATCTGTATTGATATTGCTGGTATAGTATTTTTCAAATGGAGAAGGAACTTTCATGTCATCGGAGGGGTAACTTTTAATAAGGAAAATGCCTTCAAAGTTCGCACCGCTTCTCACCATTTTTGTTCATCACGGCATAGACAACTTCATTCTATTAAGATATATGATCAAGATTCATCGTTTTGGAACTCATGGATATCCATACGTTACAAATCAATAGCACCAGTATCAATCTTCATCAAAAATAACGAAATCGAAGCTTTACGGGGAAAGAAGAAGATCTGGGCAGTCAATAGATACCAATCCTTCTGAAGTGTCACAAGAACTGGAACAAATATCTCACTTGAGCTGTACCCACCAGAGTTATTTTGGAATCCATTAGTCTTCCAAGATTACCTAATTTCTTCTTCAAAATCTTCACTGTTGCATCAGTCATACAGTGAACTATCAATCTACTGGTCATTAGACGTTTGACGAGGAGAGGCGCTTAATTCACCTCAGTCAACCCCCCTCATTTGGGATCACGCTTCTACCAAGGAAAACACAATCACGGAGGACGAACCAGATATCAAACATCACTCTTCGAATTCTTTAGCGGATCAACGAATGATCATAATAACTAATCTTATTGTGAATCCGAAACAAAGCGTTATTCGTCGTTATTCTTTGTTTCAACCTCTTGATTCTCAAAATAGTTTGTTTGGTTAATACTCGTGATACTCGTGAGTTCTATGTTTTCTTTGTGTGTTCTTGTATTAAGTATACGTTCTCGCCAAATTGCTCATTCTTCCCCCTCCTTTCGCTCTCCCCTTTGCTCATATCAAAAATTATTCACTTTACGTTTTCTTTCTCTCTTCTCTCTATTGTCATTACAACAATAAAATTGATTTCTCGCTTCGGACACCTTCGGAAATCAACAATAGAAACAATAGAGCAAGGTTCTCTATTATGACTCCTTAATACACTCATTAATTATTCACAATATCATTCTTCACCACAACCTCAAGGTTCTGTAGTCAAGTCGACTTTCGTACTTCCTACAACATATTCAATCCCTTCCAAGAGACTTTAAACTTTCTTTTCAATACCTCGAACTTCCCTTTTACTCAAAAAACAAGTCAACCATCAGCCTGCATAGATTGCATAGACTACACTGCACAACTGCAAACTCCTAATACGAATCTTTACCTTGGAGGTAATTCAATACAAGATAGATTGCTAAGATGGATGCTTTTAAAGGCTACATAGCTACTCAGAAGATCCAGCATTCTCACGCCCCTTCCAACGATTCTTCCATCAACAGCAGCCACGAGATGCACCCTTACGGTGTCCATCGAAATATAAATGCCGCACCTGCCGATGACTACTATACACCATACCTCGGTCTTCGAGCGCGCCTATCACAGACATGGATCAACAGATGGACAATTCTCTTACTACTTATCATCGTTCGGCTCCTTATTTCTTTGGCTGGTATCAAAGGAGATATCGCATCAGCTAAAACCGAAGCGTTATCAGCCTGTAGTAGTGTTGAGAATGTCGGAAGTGCTATGGCTTCTATGCCCCATTATCTCTCTCAAGGTGTTAACAGTATGGCCGCTGCTGGTATTACAAAAGCTGTCAATGGTATGATGCAAATGCTTTACATGAGTCTCACTGGTGTCGAAGAAATCGTTCTCTTCGTCATTCACATGATGACCTCAACATACATGTGTCTCATCACCTTGGCTATCACTGGTAGTCTTCAAGTCGCCATACAAATGATCGAAGACGTTGGCGCTTTCGTGAACAAGTCTATCAATACTATCACCGGTGACATGTCTTCTGGACTCAAATCATTCGAAGATGATCTTAATGGCTTCTTATCGAAGATCAATATCGGTGGTATCTTTGGAAGCAGTACTTCACCGCCAAAACTCGACTTTAGTAGTGAGATCAACAAACTCAATTCCATTCAAATTGACCCTACGACTATGGATGCCGATCTCGCCAAACTCAACGCATCCCTTCCAACGTTCGATCAAGTCCAAAACTTCACCGATAACATCATCAAACTTCCGTTCGAAGAGGTAAAGAAACTCGTGAATGAATCAATGATCGCTTACAAGTTCGATGAATCAGTCTTCCCAGTTCCTCAAAAGAAAGCCTTGACATTTTGTTCCGACAACAGCGCCATTCAAGACTTTTTCGTCGGCCTTGTTAAAACCCTCGATACCGCCAAGAAAATTATGCTCATCGTCCTACTCGTCGCTGCTATTCTCGTTTGTATTCCCATGGCCTACCGCGAAATCTGGGGTTGGCGCAGCATGCAAAGACGAGCCGCCTTACTCAGGAGTCGAAACTATACTAATGAGTTGGATATTCTCTATCAAGCTCATCGTCCCTATACTTCACAATTCGGTCTCAAACTTTCAAGGAGGTTCAAGAGCCAAAAGAATCAAATCTTGGCAAGATGGTTCATTGCATATGCTACATCTATCCCAGCACTTTTCGTTTTGGCACTCGGGTTGGCGGGTCTCTTTACCTGTCTCTGTCAATACATTATCTTGAAAACCCTCGAAAAAGAAATCCCGGCGCTCGCAGCCGAAGTCGGAGACTTTGCAGAACATGTCGTCAAGGCTTTAAACAATGCATCGGAATCATGGGCTTTAGGGGCTAATTCTGTCATCAATAATACAAACACGGAAATCAATCATAATGTTTTTGGATGGGTTAATACGACAACAGGAGCTATCAACGAAACCTTGAATGTTTTCACTGATGAGATGACCAATGCTCTCAATGTTACATTTGGTGGTACTATCCTCTACAAACCTATTATGGGTGTCTTTGAATGTTTGGTCGGACTCAAAATTGCGGGCATCGAAAAGGGTCTTACATGGGTTAGCGACCACGCTCATGTAGAATTCCCCGAATTCCAACCAGACGTCTTTTCACTCGGTGCAGCTGCCTCTCTCACAAATTCAACGGCAGACGACAATTTCCTCGCCAACCCTGCTACGAGCACCACAGATGAAATTACAGAGGCTGTGGTTAAGGTGGGAAAGAAATTGGAAGCGGTTATAAGACAAGAAGCTCTCATTTCTACCTCACTTGTTATTCTCTATTTCACCATCGTTCTCATCGGGTTGATCCGTGTGATAATTGGAATGTGTGGAAGAGACAAATCGCGCGCGGAAGGTGGCTCAACACCCAGTACACTTTATCGCCGTGCCGATGTCGAAGCTCGCAATCAACGCCTGCCGGAGATCTCACAGGAGAAATTCGGTACCGGTGGAAACGATGGTTGGCATCAGGAACATATGAGGGCAGGTGGGGATTCGATAACGCGAATGCCATTTGGAGGAGGTGATGGTGCTGCAGATGATCTTCCGTATAATGGTGCCCCGGCGCCAACATACGAAGCATCAATTGCACCGACGGAGCGATTGAGAGTAGTTCCTACAGGAAGAGTTAACACGAATAGGGGACCATGGGTTAGAGATGCGAAGTCTCAAGAGTTATGGGAGGCGGATGATATGCAGATGAGAGCGACGAGTAGTTATGGACATTTGGAAGGAGGAGACGAGAAATCATCCGGATGGGGAGCCCCGCCGAGAAGAATTTGAAAGCTGGGTCTTTCTTGTGAACGGGATACGAAACGACTTTATGAGAGAGAGAGATAGATATGATTATTACATACATACGCACATAGGCATAGCATGTGGATTTAATGAATACACATTAGAGAGACGATGGGTTGAATCAATAGGAAAGGAAGGCATTACGAAATAACCTGTTTAGAGATTTGTATAGAGTAATTTTAATTTCGCCTGATTTCACACATTCATACATATATACATACATGTCTACTGAGAAATTCTCTACTGAACAACCGCCAAACTGTGATGTTTCAAAGTTGGGAAGTAATCAGGTACTGTTATGTGTACATTCTTTCATCCATTCATCTATCCCATTTTGCTAGACTTATTGACATCGACTTTTAGTCGTATGTAGTGGAGAAATATACTGTCTTCTAATTCTAAGAGAACATTATACAGATCACTCGCTGCCCATAGCCAAACTACAATATTGAAACTTACTTGATGGAGTAGAGTAGAGTAGAGTAGAGTAGAGTAGAGTAGAATAGAGTAGAGTAGAGTAGAATAGAGTAGAGTAGAGTAGAGTAGAATAGATAAAATAGAATAGAATAGAATAGAGTAGAATAAAATAGAGTAAAATAGAGTAGAATAGAATAGAATAGATTTTCTTATTTCGCTTAAGGAGTTTAAAGAATATCCCATAGACTTCTTTATAGATCGATCGATCGATCGGTATGGATATATATATATATATATATATATGTGAATATGGATATTTTTATTCTTGTTTTTGTTTTTGTTTTTATTCTTGATCTTGATCTGTATATTTACTACTCTCGATATTTGTTTATTTATTTATTTATTCATCTAGGCATACGAAATGTAGAAAATATAGAAGATATCCATGAATACTTACGAAATGTATAAATGCAATGATCAGAATTATAATTCTGATTTTGATTTTGATTCTGATTAGATATCTAGTTTAGATGAAATTTAACAGGTACCTAATTAAACACAGGAATTACTATCCATGGAATTCATTTATTTATTTCACACATAAATACCATACATAAACCTCCTCTCTCCCAATTACGAAATATTGAAAGAAAGAAAGAGATGCGAAAAATAAATAATTATGATGACTATAGAATTCATATGCACTTTTATGAGAAAAATTTGATGATTGAATCTAGATACCTTCTAAAATAAATAAATAAATGGAATGGTATCACTAATAATACTATGATGAAATGTAAATGTAATCTATGATATCTATATATATTGCACAAGATCATGCATCTACCGTGGCAAATGCTCTTGAACTCCTGTTACCGTACCATTGTCCCGTCTTTAGAACTCCCTAAAAGGTAGAATTGTATGAAAGTCTGCCTTTACCCAAAGGAAAATCGTAAACCAAAAGGGAACAAAAGACATCATTTTCATGATTTGTCAAGACCCTCTATCGACCGACCCATCGACCCGTTAACCCATAAGCCCATCAACTTATTCACCCCCCTCACTCTCTCGTAAATACCTTCCCACTCTCCATTTCAATATCGCTTCCAGCACTCACTCTCTTCAAATGTTCCATTCCTTCGTGCCCACTTCTAAACTTAAAGTTTGCTTCCGACCATGCTTCTTTCATGGCAATTCCCGGATGCAATAGCGTAAGTCCCACCAACGCAAGAGCAATCATCACACCTTCCAAAATCATGAACTCAACCTCATGACCAATGAAAAGAGGGCCATTGAAGCCACCCGATAGTTCTACACATCTGTAGATGGAACGAATGAGGATGGTAATTGTCGCGAGGCAAAGTCCGCTGAGGAAGGATTTAAAGAGAGCGGAAGAAACGAGATCGATGTAGCGAGCATTCCAAACGCCTTGTGCGCGGCGAACTCTCCATGCGAAGTCAGCGCAGAGGATGGCGAAGAGGATGAGAGAAAAGACTTGGAAAGCGAGACCTGCTAACATGATATTTTTGCCCAAATCTTTATCGTCGAGTGTGTCGGCAGTTGAAGCGATGGCGCCACCAGCGGCTTGGAGCACGAGGGAGATAATATCACAGGTGCAGAAGATGATGGTGTATGTTCCTGGTTTGAAGCGAGAGATTTCTTGGCCGTAAATAATGACAATTCGAGACAGACAAAGGTAAATTCCTGCGGTGAGGAAAGCAGGGGCGATGGTTAGACAGATGAGATACATTAAGAAGTAATCCTTTTCGAAAGGATAGTTATTAATAAGAACCCTAGCGATATAACCGATGATTTCGAGGATCTAATGAACGAGAAAGTTAGTCTTGTAATCTTAAACTTTGTTTGTTTTCATATTCAATCCTAATTAAACTGTGGGGTGGACATTGACAAGTGTAGAACATACCAATCCAAGAATCATAGCAACCATATATCCCCATGTTTTGAACTTGATTCCTAGAGCCAACTGTGCAATACAGAATACCCCGAACAAACCGGCGAATATGGTATTTCCAACCACGGTTGGCCGATACTCGAAACTTGACAAGGAAAGATCACAAGTGTCAAGTGTACACAAGTGTGGATTCATAAGTAAAGTCACATTGCCGTAACCACCAGTATTTCCATCCGAATGAGTTAAATTTGACATTTTGATATCGGTTGTGAAGCGAGGGCTAAGAAGGGAGGGAAGCAATAAAAGTTACTTTGAACTGAAGAAACAACGAGAATGGGAAGAGAGGAGAATGTTTGGAAAGATGATTGCAGCTTGACATTTTGAGCTTGAGAGGCTTCCAGTTACCTTTAATATTTCCAACAGCAGGCAGTGCAAATTTGTAGATAATGTAGATGTCGGGATTACGGACAATTTTGAGTGCGAGACATACGACGACAACACGGTTATGCCAATGATATCGACAAAGGCACTTATGTCAGCTATGAGGTAAGCAAATTGATGACTGTGATTGGTTACTTCGTAGAATTGAATAAGACTCTCCCACTTGGCCCTCCAAGATCCAATTTTTAAGGTTAAATCCTTCATGAAGTCATTTCATCGCTTCATGTCAAAGAAGATAAATAGATCCGACACATTATTGGTAGAGATCATATATTGCAAGGCTGAAATTGCTGCAGTTGCAGGAGCGCCATCAGGAACGATCATGAAATTGGTACAGCAATGGCATTTTACGATCATTGCCATCCTTCCCGTAGAGTAGAGATGGTTAAATTTAGAATGGAAGAATCTAATTTAAGGATCCAAAGCACTTGCTTTTTGAGTTGCTAATCTGACTTGGCCTTATCATTAATAAGCCACTCGTAACTGGACCCAACTCGTAACATTATTTGGAGCCAAAGATCAACAGTGCTCGCGCATGCCATGAATATTGATTGGTACACATGCAATAACGGTTGGTTTTCTCCTCATCTTTGTGCGACCCATCTGAAATGGATGGTGGAGATTCCACGAGATATCAATCGACGTCAAGGTTGGAATGGTAAGAGCAACCAACTTTGAGAGCAAGAAAATACGATGGGCAACAAATCGAATTTAGCTTGAGGCATGGTTGGTCGCAAATGATAGGCGAACGAGAGGTGAATCGGCCATCGTCAGGTGTATGCAGTTTTGGCCGGCTGAGACGATAATTAGTATTGACTCGACCTGCGGTGGAAGTTTGCCAATATGGACGATGGCGACCTGGTAACACGATGAACTACCAACGCTTTGGTCTGTCACCCCGAGAGAGCACTATCTAATGAATTTGGATAACGCAAGCGCCCATCAACTGCTGGAAACTCGGTCCCGATAAAATTTTGCTACCAATCACGACCTCTCCAATGATTTCTTGTCGAGGCACAGCGTTAGGAAGAAAAGTATTGTGTAGTGTGATCAGCCAAGAAAAGAGAAGGCAAGGTAGGTAGGACAATATATATTATTTTTGTTGCCATCAAAATTGGACAGAAATGCAATGCAATGAATGTAACGTGATGATAATATGGAAAGAGCTCTCTAGTCGACGATAAGTTCATGCAGCTTTATACGACTTCATATAGCTTCCTGGTAAGCTTTACCTTTTATACAGCAATCAAGCAATCAAGCAATTAAGCAATGCAGTGGCAAACTTTAAACATTCTCGAGGCATTCAAAAGGGATTCAGATCAGATCAGAGCATTCAAGCATTCACCGACTTCACCGACTTTCCCAATGCAACATTAATGCAACAAGATGACTAAGAAAATGGCTACAGCTTATCGCACGTGATGACCATCAATCGTTACTAACAAATGAAAATCTAGTGGTCCGATTTCGCTCTTCACCACAGGTGGAGTGTAAAAACTGTAACATCTTTTATGCATCTTTTATGCATTATGTACGTTATGTCTCTGCATAACCCCACACACCTCCAAATTCACTAACAAAAAAGAAAAAGAAGAGCGTCAGAGTCAGAGTCAGAGTCATACCTCATTCGAAAGATTTTCCTTGGAAAGCATAAATACCTTTTTCTTCTTGTACAAGAGAAATTTTCTTTCTTTTCTCTCTTGTTTGAATCAATTCACCTGATTATCACATCAATTGAACATTATCAACCTTGGTTTTTCATCTACATATAATTCTTCTATTGTCTAACCACATTCTATCCATCTAAAGACGAAGCAGAAGAAGAATTCAATTCCTTTGAAAGAACCAACAACAAACACAATTCTAGAGTTTTTTTCTCTTCCCTCCCCAACCTCAATCAACCATCATAAAACCTCCTCAATAACGTCACAATGTGTCCTTCCTGTGAGCCAGAGCAGGCTTTAGAGACTATTGCCGCTCATGCTAATGGCAATGGCACTACTTCTAATGGATCAAATGGTAGTGCGCATACCTCTCAGTCTCCAATGTCGATATCAATACTAACGTATCATTTCTAGCTCACCCAGGATACACAGCCATTGAGACCAAGAAGAACCCACATCCAGCCAAGAGAGATAACCCATATCAACCCGTCGGCGACTTCCTCAGCAATATCTCAAGTTTCAAGATCATCGAAAGTACTTTGAGAGAAGGTGAACAATTCGCCAATGCTTTCTTTGATACCGAGAAGAAGATTGAAATTGCCAAGGCATTGGACGATTTCGGTGTCGACTATGTGAGTCAATTGTCATTTATAGAATTCTATTAGGTAGATTATACTAAACAAAATTCGCAGATCGAATTGACTTCACCAGCTGCTTCAGAACAATCAAGAGCTGATTGTGAAGCTATTTGCAAGTTGGGTTTGAAGGCTAAGGTTGGTACCAGTCTCCGCACACGGAAATTCATACTAACTCTCACAGATTCTTACTCACATTAGATGTCATATGGATGATGCAAGAATCGCAGTACAAACTGGTGTTGATGGAGTGTAAGTTTGATTTTTCTCCCGCAGAATTATCACCTCTAACATGTCTCAGTGATGTCGTTATCGGTACCTCATCTTATCTTATGGAACACTCCCACGGAAAGGATATGACCTACATCAAGAACACCGCTATTGAAGTCATCGAATTCGTCAAGTCACACGGCATCGAAATCAGATTCTCTTCCGAAGATTCTTTCCGATCCAACCTCGTCGATCTCCTATCAATTTACTCCACTGTTGACAAGATTGGTGTTAACCGTGTTGGCATTGCTGATACCGTTGGATGCGCTTCACCAAGACAAGTTTACGATTTGATCAGAACCCTTCGTGGTGTCGTTAGCTGTGATATCGAAACACATTTCCACAATGATACTGGTTGCGCTATCGCAAACGCATACTGTGCTTTGGAGGCTGGTGCTACTCACATCGATACCTCCGTTTTGGGTATTGGTGAGAGAAACGGTATTACCCCTCTCGGTGGATTGATGGCTCGTATGATTGTCGCAGACCGTGAATACGTCATGGGCAAGTACAAGCTCCACAAGCTCAAGGATATTGAAGATTTGGTCGCACAAGCTGTTGAGGTTAACATTCCTTTCAACAACTACATCACTGGTTTCAGTGCTTTCACCCACAAGGCTGGTATTCATGCCAAGGCTATCCTCAACAACCCATCTACCTACGAAATCATCAACCCAGCCGATTTCGGTATGACCAGATACGTTCACTTTGCATCTAGACTTACTGGATGGAACGCTATCAAGTCTCGTGCTAACCAATTGAACATCGAGATGTCCGATGAGCAATACAAAGAGTGTACTGCTAAGATCAAGGCCCTTGCCGACATTCGGTCCATTGCAGTTGATGATGCCGACTCAATCATTCGTGCTTTCCACAGACAAACCAAGACCGGCAAAGCTGTTGAGCTTTTGCCCAACATGACTGAAGAGGAGAAGGTTTTGTTGGCCAAGAAGGAAGCTGAGATTGCTGGTGTTCCCGAGAAGCGCAAGTTGGATGAGGTTGCCGAAAGTCAAGCTAAGAAGGCTAGAAATGACGTTTCCGCATAAATGAAGAGAGGATGAGATGACATCTCATTTGAACCACATCTAGTCTGTTAGGGGGTAGCTGAATTCTTCCCAGACAAGATGGATCTAAAGGAAAGTAGTTGAAATCTTCCTAGATCTCGGTCCAAAGATGATTGAAATCTCCCTCTTGGATACTTCATTTATCGAAACAAAATGGCGGGCTGAAAAGTTGCTTGTGCTATTTGATATTTCTTTCCTTTTTAAAGTTGATGATTTGGACGGCCTTTGAAAAGATTTCGCGGGATACACACTTTTTGCGAGCTTTGCTTTGGGTTTGATAAATATTCAGTTGTAGCATGACATCATACAGTTGGTATGAATTGAGGAAGGCACATTGCTTTCTTCGATAGTTGGCGGAAATACAATTCTATGGAATTACATGGATTTTTATGAAATTGTGACTGAGCTATCATGGTGATTGTATCTATGTGACATGATGTGAAGTGCGAATTCAAGTAAACTGCCGAAAGAATAAATCTTGGGATCAACTTCGTGTTGTGCGTTTAATGGCATGGATTTCCTACGTATTCAAGCTGCACAAACCCTATAATCGTCTCTATCAAGTATCGAAAGATTTCATCAAAAAATTAATCCATTCATTCATTGGTTTCAATTATTAGCACCCTGAAATACGACCACCCCATTTCATCACATTGTAGCAAAGTTTCATATCCGATCTGTCCAATTCTTCCATCCCCACAAATTAATCTTCTTTTCATTCGACATAAACCTTCCAGCCCTTACAAGACAGCAACGACACCCAAAATCGCTCCCATCAATCCTCCCACCATCTGAACACCCATAGTAGGCGCCGCGTTTGTTGTAACTGCAGCGGGTGAACTTGTAGATGCAGATGCAGATGCAGATGCAGATGCAGATGCCGAGCTTAATGCCGAAGAAACAGCTGCACTGGCCGAGCTGGACGCCGAAGAAATAACTGAACTGACTGAGCTGGACGCCGAAGAAATAGCTGAACTGATTGCTCCTCCGGGATTCGACGATGTCAGTGCAGTACCGGTCGCGCTTGCAGTAGACGATACGCTGGTGTTGGTAAGAATGCTCACAACACCGCCTGGATTGCTAGAGCTCAATGCACTTCCTGTCGCGCTTACATCTGCAGTTGTTGAGCTTGCGAGACCTCCAGGGTTCTCAGATGTAATGGCTTGGGTGGTAACACTTCCCGTGACTGCGGTAGCAGAAGCGCTGAATGCTGAGCATAGAGCAAAGCCGACGCTAGCGGCAGAAGCGAGTTCGTCGACGTTACAGGCGGAGATGAGACAGGGGGTTACGGCGGTTTGGATGGCGGCTTGCGCGGTGCCGCATTGGCAGGCTTGGTCGTTGGCTCCGCAGCCGGCGACGGAGATGGCGCTTTGGAGACAGGTGACCTGGGGTGGGTGGGTTAGTGGAAGGGACATATGTTTATGGAGGAGGAGATGGAAAGTGTAAAGGGAGAAGGGGCGAAAGGAGAGAAGATAGAATAGATGGAGAGTGATGGATATTGATAGAGAGGGGAAAAGAGTGCAAAGGGAACTTACAGCGCAAGCAGGTTCAGCACCGAAATTCTGTGCAGATACAGCGATGAAAGTTCCTACGATGGAGAAAGCGGTTGAGAACTTCATTTCGATGATGATTTTTATTGTACAGAGATTTCGATAGTTCTTTCGATAGTTCTTTTCGTTATCTTGTAATAGATTTGTTTATTAGGATAAATTTTCAATCAATCGATCTCAAAGAATCCAACCTTATTTGTTTAACTCGTAAGTCAATCACTTGATCAAAACAACAGTGAATGAAGATATATATCGAAACAAGTAAACAAACGACAATCGAGAAATGATGACAGAAACCGAAGTGAATTTCCTACAAAACACACAATAGCAACGGAGACCTTTTTAACTCCCCCAAACACGAGAGCTACCCTAGCACGCCTCGCTGCGGGGAAATATAATGAACAGGGAAGCAACTTGCCGTTCCATCATAGTGCAGGTTTTATATATAGATGGTCGATGTTTCTTGGATGGAATAGGAAGCTCGAATTGAGTTTTGCGGTTGGAGGGTGAGGGTCCGGCTATTGTTCCTTCCTTTCTACGATACCTTTGAGGGGTTTTATTTGATAGGTTGGGTTGGGAAGGTCTTGGGAGGACTGTGCGATTGGAAGCTGGGAAGTAACTAATGATTCTTTTGGAATAGTTATGAAAAGCCACGAGAATTCTGGATTCTTTTGATGAGAATTGAAGAGGGATTGATTCGTTACTATGGAAATCACGAGGGTGAGGTACGAGAAAGGTACGAGGAAGGTAAGGTTACGATGTTTTGATTTTGATCTCCATTGCACTTTTTGATATCTTGGCAATCTTTCCCGGAGAATCCACCCACCCATGAACCAGCGGAATTCATCAACACACGGTACAGTACTCCTCCGTAAGGTACATCGATGCTTCGCCACAGGAATCCCCACCCAGTCACAGTCAGGAAGTAGCTAGTAGATCCACGGGTACCCAGGTATTTCATCGTAGGACCCATCACGATCATCACAGTCCCTCCAGTAACCTTATCAAGCACGCGTTTCCTTCATCTAATTCCTCCACTACATATCACCTTTTTCCTTTCAACCTTCCTCTCTTGAAATGGCTCGTTTGAAAAAAAGAAGAAAAACGTGAAACTTAAAAAATGCACCTCCTAAAGATGGTAATTCTGGCCAGCTATCTTGGCGGAGTCTGTGATTTACACGTGGCGTCGTTAGGTGTGCACCCAGCCATCTTTTTCGTGTTGGCAAACTTACACCATTCATCGTGTTGCTTGCGATGGAGAGATGGTGGTGAAAGATGGTCGTTCGTGTTTGTGATTCGGATGATGATTGGTTGGGGTTGGGTCGATATCCTAGATAATAATCAATTTCTCAAATGGCTTGAATTCACAGGCAGCTATTCGAAAGTTCAAAGAAGTGTGAAACAACGAGGTGATTTGGATACCGACACACATGAATGCGACAAGTTGTCGCGAGATTTAGAAAATACGATATTGCAATTGGATTTAATTTCTTGAATGACACCACATAATTTCAATATTTGAGAACTTCGAGTGGTCAGATATCCATTTAGACTGTTAGACGCAATCCAGGAAAAGACCCCGGCTAGAACACCACCGCCATGAGGTGGACAATGGTGCGAGTGAGATTTTTGTCCATCCTATCTATCAAAGTTAATGTAACTAATAAATCACCGCTTTCTACCAAATCTATTTTCGGGAACTTAGGAATCGAGTAGTACTCATCCTAATATCAGTCAGGACTGCCCTGCATCATTATGTGGAGGGCACAGCCTCTCTCAAGCAAATTTGACTTCTTGACGTCGTAAGCAGATGTTGGTGGTGATTTCTGCCCAGCTTCATTTTGTCTTGGCATCTAGTTCCGTGGCTATCTCTGGCTCTTGCTTCTAAGATATCACTGCTTTCTTCCTCGACAATATGTCTCTCATCCTTCCCGTTCTGAAGCTCAACTAAACGTCCCCCTGATACCTCTTTGTCCATGAAGTCATCCGCATCAAGCTCGATAGAAGGAATAGGAATATCTGAATCCAACACCATCTCTCCCAATTCCATATCTTCATTTTCCGTACCGAAATTCATTCTTGGCGAACAAGTCTCCCCATCAGTCTTAATAGAAGGGATAGGAGTATCTGGATCACTTATCCCCTCACCCACCTTCACCTCCCCATCTCTTTCCTTTCCCACACTGCTACCCACTCTCGAGCAACAAGACCCCCCAGATTGCACCCCGTCAACACATAAACACACCCCTTTCCTCTGGCTCTCCAACCCCTCACTTCCCCCCCAACATCGACAATAACATCCACACTGTCCACATTTCCCACACACCTCACCTGCACAAACCCTCCGTCGATACCAAGACCCCCTATATCTCCCCGGAAAGCTCATTCTTTCCGCAATCTCAGAACCATATTCTCGTCTCACATCTTCGCAAGCACAACGATGTACGTATTAGCTATGATGTCCCCTCCATGGTTGATAATCGTACAAATAACAGTAATGAATACACATACTTTCGCGCCATAAGAATTTATCAGTCATGTATATTAAAAATGGTCCGTGCGGAGGCGCATCGGGATATTGTCTCGCGAGGTGAGAGTGTCTGGAATTCCACGTCTTGTTATATTGACGCGTTGCTATATTTTTGCTTTGGGAGTCCAAGGTCCAGTGAGGACGCCAGTTGTATTGGGAATGGTAGTGAGGGGCTGGGGGTCGCTTTTTGAGGGGTGGGGTCTGAAGTTTTTGGCCATGATGTGTGATGCTTGCTTTGCTTTATAGGCTGGTAGTGTTTGTTGTTCCGTTTGTGAAGGAGGGGAGATGAGGAGAGTTATTGATGTTTTATTCTATATGCGCTAAAGTCATGATGTTTCGAGGAGAGAAACGAAAAGGTCAGAAGTTGTGAATGATGATACCCTTTATATCTTCAATTTCCAGATACCTGTTTAATGTTGCAAGAGGTTATCGGTGAATATCTCTGAGCTCGAGTTTCTAAATTCAATTCACTTGGTCCAGTTATATATCTCCTCTCGATTTGGAATTGAATGCCTCCAAAGAACTTACACGCTCCAAATGATCGATCTTGCATGAGAGCTGGATAAAGTTTCTAGTGAAAGTGAGATCTGTCGTTTAGAAAATTCTTTTCTGGAACCACTGTTTCATGCGTCGAGGTGCCTGAAGCAAACTTTTCGCTGCCATCAGCCACGTTTCAACAGCATACTTTCGGTGATAATTATCCAAGAAACTAGTACCTCTTCCTTTCTTATTTGTCGTCAATCTGGATACATATAAGGTCGGCCAAAGATTGGTGACATGCGTTCCCTGATATAGGCCTGGCAAGCGTCTCTTCGTCCATGTATACTTTGTAGAAATCAGACAAAGAATTGAAAATCTTGCAGACGAGGAATACTATTAGTGATAGAGCTATATAAAAGTAATTAATTAACCAAATTTCTTGAATGCTTGTTTATGACAGCGATATTACCACTTTCCTAGCAGAAACGCCTTCCTCTGTATTTCTATTCCCTTTTCTAAAGATTCCAAACCATTCCCAACAACCATAGCCTCAGGAGCGGCAACAAAAACGCCTTTCTCCAACGCCTCCGAAAGGAAGTCCCCAAAGATTGCCTTGCCTACGCCATTCATTGCCACAGTTGAGCCGTCAACGAATGCATTGTCAATTCCTCTGACCATCTTCTTAATTTGATTGGAGATTATCCAAGGAACGAATGTACATATAACTTTCGGAAGTATGAATCTTTTTGGTGGTGGAAATGGTATGGGGTAAGTCATCATTGAAAGGAACTTCCTCCCTCTACACTTATTGAGGATATCCATGCATGCATCAGCAGCTCCCTGTCCTATTGACATTGCACCAGCGGTAGTCTTGCCTTTAAATGCATTTATAATATCAGGAATGGCAGTCTTGCTATTGTAATCAAAGACTTGACTTGCACCAAGTTTCTTTAAAAGGTCGAAGTTTCTGGGAGATGAGGTAGAGAATACTTCGTAACCAGCTGCGACGGCTAATCTGAGGTTTATTGTTAATATGAGATCATTGAGGGAATGAAGGAGATAACAAATGCAGAATAGAGACTTACTGTATAGCGTTAACGCCGACACTGGTTGAACCACCCCAAATAAGTACAGTCTCCCCCGTAGATTTTGGGGACAACGATGGCAATTCTAGCGCCAACTGGTCCTTTTGAAAAAGCCCGGCAGCTGCGGTAGAAAGTGCCAAAGGTACCACACAAGCTTGCTCATAAGATAGTGTATGCGGAATGAGCGAAGCCATATTATCCAAAAGGATAGTATAGAGTTGAAAACCACTTTGCGTCAGGACATTGGATGATTCCGTGAGACCCATTGCCATACCTGTAACACGATCTCCAACCTTAAATCGTGTAACTTCGGGGCCAATTTCAACCACTTCTCCCGAAACATCATATCCAGAAATCAATGGATATTTCACCCACGGAAACATAAGACTGCCCATATCTTGCTTAATCCAATCTACCGGGTTCACGGCAACAGCTCCATTTTTAACGACAATTTCATTCTTCAGAGGTCGAGTATAGGGCGCAGGTCTAACCTCCAGCTTGCCAGATAGTTCCAACCATAATGCGGAATTTTGGGGGGAAGTCATTGGGGGAGACATGCTAGTGGGACGTCTGAGCGAGGAGAGGATTTAGAGTTTCCGGCTGCGATAGATGTCGATTTGACGGAGATGATCGATATAAATCTGAGATTGAGTACCTAGTATCAAGATCTGATTGATATGAGAAAGAGATGTGCTAAGAACTGATTGCCCATCCTCAAAACGAGCATACAATGAAAGATACTTATACCCATTTCTTACCATTGTTGCGGACTTCCAATCATCAACGTGAGTGGAGAATTCCATTCCATTTTGTCCGATTCTTCACCCAAATTACAACTTCTATGCGAAATCCTCCAGAAATCGTTGGCAGATAATGTTATCACTCTATCACAATGCGAGATGAAGTTAGTATGTTTGGAAAGCCAGAGCGAAATGCGAAGAACGTGTGTACGGAGTAGAGACGTTTTTAAAGTTTTAGTGGAACTGAATTGAGGATTAAAATACTAGTATTGATTGGTCCAATGACTAAAATCGCTTAGGGTGGAATTGTGAATGCGAATGAAGGTTAGCGTCCCATGAGTTATCCGAAACTCACTAGGTGTTTGTTTATCCGACTCCGAAGAATGCACATGGGGAGACCGTCAGACTGGGAAAAATGTGAGAGAATCTACCTTCGACTTTAAGATCTTGTTGTACCTTGTCGTGCTTTTTTATATGTTATGCAGATCTGAAATCAATCGAATATTATTGAAATTCGATGCCGATCATAGCATACCATCATGGCTTGCCTGGTTGACGATTGACCTAATATGAACCCTTCCCCCTTTCACCCCCTTATCTCATTGTGACCCGTCCTAACAAGCTGCTATCTCGCAGAATATCCATAAGCAGCATATCGTGAACTGCGCATGCTCCTTCTTCTCTTTCTAGACCTTATACTATCTCTTGGGCCATGCAATAGAGTCTCTATTTTTCAGGGCCTTACGTTCGATAAATCTTCAATTACTCTAGAACCATGACAGCCCCCGTCTCGATCTCCGGAAAAGGAACCCACCGGACGATAAGACCACACAAAAAATCACGTCGTGGATGTGGAAACTGTAAATTGAGAAAAGTCAAGGTATGTCCAAGTTCTTGTCCCATCTCTAGGGAATATGTTTAACTCGTCGCCTGTAGTGGTGATGAGGATAGACCAAAGTGTAAACGGTGTGCAGAATTCAATGTTCTCTGCAATTACGACAACCAAACTTCAGCACTTCAACTACTTAAGAAGTCTTTTACCTTCGAGACTCTTCAGCAAAGATTTCCCTATTCATTAAACCAAACAGTCCCAAGCTCTATTAGTTCGCGGCTGAGAACTCCCGGAAAGATTGATGTATACGATTTGAGCGACCAAGAACATTTGGAGTTATTGAATAAGTTTCAAACGAGAACTGTTTACTCTATAACAACGAGTAGGAATCTTCAGATATATCAAAATGAGTTTATCAAGTTATCATGTCTGGTATGTTGAAACATAAATTTCCACTGATCTTCTACTGACCCACTACAGCATCCATACTTGATGCACGCTCTACTCACATTTACGCTAATGCATGACCGACACATCTCTATTGAGCACAGTATAAGAATGTCTTCTCGAGAAGCCTTTCATTGGTGTCAAAGTGTATCATTATTCAGCAAAAAATTGGCATCCGGAGCAATTGAATCTTCATCAGAACGCGATGCTTTATGGGCAACTTCCGTTCTTCTTGGCGTAATTGCATTTTGCAATATTGAAGCAGCGAGTCCGGAAGAAGCTTGGCCTTTGAAACCACCTTCATCTCTAGATCTGAATTGGTTAACGATGAGCTATGGGAAGTCTGAAATTTGGAAATTGGGTCTGGACCAAAGTGCGAGCGCATTTAAGACATTGATGGCACCCCCTTTTGAAACTTTATCACAATTCTCTTACATTCGTCTTGAGACATTGCCCCAAGCTTTCGTCACACTTCTGAATTTGTATCCCAGCTCCAAATCACATGATAACCCCTATCATCTTGCGGCATCCTTATTATCGGATATTATCGATCTTGACGATCCTATTACCGTAATTTTGAAGTTTTGGACCTTTGTCAGCAGTATGCATCCGCAATACAAAAGATTACTCTTGCAAAAAGAACCTCGCGTTCTCTTGTTACAAGCCTATTGGCTTGGAAAAGTTTGCCAATTTCCACATTGGTGGATTTGGAGGCGTGTATCACTGGAGTGTCAGGCTATCTGCATATATTTGGAAACTTTTCACAAACATGAATTGGATATTCAGACACTTCTAGTCTACCCAAAGATGGTGTCTGGGCTGACTTCTTACTGAATTATGAGTTGAGGTGGCTTCACTAATCTATTTTTAGAGATTCTGAGAGTCATCCTGACTGTGTTTGTGACGCATAGATGTCGATGGTCATGTGTTGCCACTCATACTATTAATTAATATTCTTCAATCATCACGATAGCATTTCTTTAACTTCACTGTCTTTCCCATCGTGACTGTCTTTTCTCTTTCTCCAGCAAAGTTTTGCCATTTCCCTGTACACAATATTGTTTTCATTTCAGGGCGCATCCAAAGCCACTCGATTTCAATCCTGCTGTTCTCGATTTACTTGCAGACTACCAAGCAAGGCTTTATGGATATTTTGTGTCTAGGGAAACTTGCCATCTCGGAAATTCTTTTGCAAACAATTTTGAGATTGAATATCAACGAAGTATCTCGAATTCGCATTTTTGTATCGATAACTACCTAATAACGGCGAAGCGCACAACCCTAAGGAGGCAGAGTATTCCAGAGCGCCCTTATTGCTCGTCGAACTCCATTCCCTTCAAGCAGTTTCCCTTCGATTCATAAAATCGTTCGTCAATCATTCGAAATAGATTCACTTGTCCCTATTTCCCCCATGCGCTTTTCAAGATGAAGGTCGATATCTTTTACCTTCGCTAAGTGTAAGGGGGTCAAAGTCAATTTCTTCGGACAATACCTCTATAAATTTTCTTCTCGAGGCACCTTGCTCTTTTTCTGTTGTTTTTTTGTTCTCTCTGACGTTTTGTTGTTTCTCCTTTGTTTCCTCTTTGTTCTCTTATCTTTTACCTCTATAAAGCCTTACCCCCGACTAAAGTTAATATCATCACCGACATCACGCCGTCACACCTGAAGACGCCAAAGCCCAAGCCATCAACAACAATATTCTGTATCCACATTCAATACGAGATTTTAATAAACCTTGCCCGCAACAATGTGTTTCAATCCAGGCAAAGCTTCAAAAAGCAGCTACCATAAATCAGTCACTTCTAACCCAGCTCCTGTTCTTCGACATGAAATTAGTGGCTGGGTGTGTTGTTGTTGTGGCCTAGATAACGGCGGGGATTGTGTTTGGTGTGCGAGATGTACTCATTATACAGTCAATTGTGTTTCTTGCTTTTCCTATTAAGTAACCCTTCGTATTGGGTGCTTGAAAAGAGTTCGAGGGTAACAATGACTGATAGGTCTAGTGCAGGATCACTACACTAGTTGGCCTAATGAAATCCCAGTCTCCACCAATTTAATAAACTCTAAAAATTTTGTGAGTTCTCGAACGATATATACTAATTTTCGTCTTCTTTTTGCCATGTGCCAATATCCCACACTGTTTCCTACCCACTCTCGTGTTACTTATTAGCATGAACCCCGCGCTATCTTGTGCACGAATAAGTAATCCGAGCCCAATACCTACCCATAATTCCTTGCTAACTCCCAACTTCAAGGCTAGAGCGAACATTTGCATGGCTGGACCGAAGTGGAACCTAAAGCCATGCCACGCATTTTGAGGCCTGGCAAACGATTTGATTCTTTGACTTTAACGTTAAATTGTCTCCGCCCGGCAACGAACGAACTGCATTTCTACTTCTCATACGATCAATCGGATAAATATACCGAGAATTGTACCGATTTGTTTCTTCGGGACATTATACGAATCCAGCTACAGTCAGCTTTGCATATGTTCGAACTTGGTCGGTCAGGAATGAGCGAATTAGGATGACTGCTTAGCTTTCCATCACGTGTGAATCCTTGGATACCTTGTCCCTAGGTATGTAACTGTTTGTACTATGTGAAGTGTGCAGTCACGTCAGGGCGATGACGATGATGCGGCGTAGCTTAATCTCGGCGTTTTCGAACACAAATTAGATCTCACACTCTTAATCTTGATCGCCCGATAAGCCTTACCGCCACTTTTGATTCTTTTGGATTAGATCAAATAACATGGAATCGTTGGAATAAATTCCCCACAACGGCGACAAAATACAAGCGAAGAAATGAAGGATTAATCTGGTGAGATGAAATGACAGGTGACATAGACGTCGTACGGTGAACCATTTTTGAACACGAATGGCAATTTTGCTGGGGTATGGAGAAATTATGTGGGGATCTTGGAGAATTTGGAGAGATTGGTTGGGGTTTTGACCTCCATGGAGTAGACAGAAAGACATGGATATGAGGGTGACGATCTCTACCTCATTGAGTCATTCAACATGAAGTAGTTTCGCAATTCGGCGAAGGATGCTTCCGCCACCGGTTCTTCGAAATATCATCACGCACACACACGCAAACGGAAACGGCCTCGTAGCCTCGCAGCGTTGTTCATCGCACAGCAGCAGATTGCTAGCACACATGCTGATCATCCTGACAAATTATTATTTCCGCCCGAAACTTTTAGAATCAAAACTTTCCCCCCACATCCCCAGATTGCATGTCCTAGTGTAAGACCTCATTACTCGAGAGTCAATACGGGTCTTGGTCTTCGAAGTTATTTAGAATGACATGTTGATCTATTTCCTGAAATTCTGGCCAAGGCAGGCAATTTTTTCTCTCGCTCACATATGATCCTTGTACACACATGTATCTTGTACCGCGGGGTTGGGGTAAGCTTCTGGGGGCTGACGGGCGGGGCGCGCGCCAAATCTAGGTGGAACCGCCCTAGCTCAGCCTAGTCAATGTAACATATCCCTTCATTGGCTCCTTGCATGCCGCTTTCCCCATTTCCTTGAAACTTACCTTGACATCTCAAGCCCGATAGACTGAGTAACTAAGGTAGTTTTCAAAGTCTTTTGCTCGGTCTTCCCGATCCTGGCTTGATGATCCTGTGCAAGGTCTGTAACTAGCTGGTCAATTGGTCCAATGGAACATCTTTCTACCTAGTTCGAGCCTAGCATTATATGTCGATGGTGCAATCCTATATTCACGCGTATTTGTAGTGAATTATTTCTCCACAGTAGCATGCGACAAGGGTGTAACCTGGGTACAGGTATCTAATCACAATTTTTGAGATGGAGGGGAAAGTTGGATGATCCCAAATCCAACGGGAACTGAGATTATAAGGCTTATGATTTCCACCGTTTCTTGGATTTCTCTTCTTCTTGCTTGTTTACCTCGCCAAGATTTCTCCAAGTCTTTCTAGTTGTCTTCTTCGTTTTCATCTTGCAAGATGGCGTCAACGAAGAATCAAATTGATAATGTCGACACTGTCGAGCATGCTCATCCATCCACTCATGTCGATTTGAATAATAATATTACTGCCAAGTAAGTTGTCATTTATCTATTGCTGAGCTCCTATGAAAGTATAACTTTTACTAATTGCTCGTCTATAGAATCCAAAATCCCTTGGCAGGTTTATCAGAAAGTACCCTCATTCGAGATGTAGGAGAATTTGCCCAAGCCAACGACCTCAACCATATCCTTCCTTTACTTGAAAAAGGTGCTTTGGTAGCATCCGACCCAGAGAACTTTGAGAATGTAGGAAGATTGGATGAGGAAGATAAAGTTGCTTTGAGATATGAGGCAGCGCATAGATGGAGTCATCCAACGACGCTTTACTTGACAATCATCACCTGTTCTATCGGTGCAGCTGTTCAAGGTTGGGATCAAACGGGTAGTAATGGAGCAAATCTTTCATTTCCACTAGAATTCGGGATTGGCCAAGGAGATAACCCAAATTCTCCAAACCATGATCGTGATAATTGGCTTGTCGGTTTGGTTAATGCAGCTCCATACATTGGATCTGCTTTCTTGTAAGTTGAGATTGAATTTCGGTATAACAAATGATCATGGCTGACGATTTATACAGTGGCTGTTGGATGAGTGATCCCTTCAATGCCTGGTTCGGACGTCGCGGTACTATCTTTATCGCAGCTATCATTTGTATTTTTACTCCCATCGGAGGAGCTTTCGCGAAGTCTTGGGAAACTCTTTTTGCCAGTCGTATAATTTTGGGACTTGGAATGGGTCTGAAAGGAAGCACAGTACCAATCTTTGCTGCGGAGAATAGTCCAGCTATGATTCGAGGAGCATTGGTCATGTCATGGCAAATGTGGACTGCTTTTGGTATTTTCTTAGGATTTTGTTGCCGTGAGCATTGATTGATTCTCCGATAAAGTATCATCAGCTGACACTCATCCAGAACCTTGGTCGTCATTGATACAGGAAAGATCGCATGGAGACTTCAAATTGGATCTGCATTCATTCCAGCTCTGCCTCTTGCAGCGTTGATCTTTTTCTGCCTGGTACGTAAATTCAATTCATGAATCGGCTCAATTAACTAACGATGAATCTAGAATCTCCAAGATGGTTGATGAAGCGAGGAGAATACCAGAAGGCCTACAAGTCCCTTTGCCGACTTCGCAAGCACGATCTTTTTGCTGCTCGTGATCTCTACTTCATCGACTGTCAACTCAAAATCGAAGCAGCAATCGTCGGTAAAACCAACTACGTCAGTAGATTCGTTCAGTTGTTTACCATTCCGCGTGTACGAAGAGCAACTCTTGCATCTTTTACCGTTATGATTGCTCAACAAATGTGTGGTATCAACATCATTGCATTCTATTCTTCGACCATTTTCAGACAGGCAGGTGCTTCCGAAAAGAATGCATTGATTGCTAGTTTTGGATTCGGATTGGTTAATTTCGTATTTGCGTAAGTCTTTTCTCTCTCCTAACTTCATCGAGCGTTTTGTCCACTCTTTGAACCACTACATCAAGATATTAATAAAGTGTATCTAGCTGGCCAGCCATTTGGACCATCGACACCTTTGGTCGACGTTCTCTACTTCTTTTCACTTTCCCACAAATGGCATGGTCTCTCCTCATCGCCGGTCTATGCTTCCTCATCCCTGAAGGCTCCACTGCCCATCTTGGACTCATCGCTACATTCATTTACATATTTGCTGCCTTTTATTCACCAGGAGAAGGACCTGTTCCTTTCACTTACTCAGCCGAGGTTTTCCCCTTATCACACAGAGAAGTTGGAATGGGCTGGGCCGTTGCAACATGTCTATTCTGGGCAGCCGTTCTATCGATTTCTTTCCCCAAGATTTTGGAAAGCTTTCATCCCGTCGGAGCATTTTCCTTCTACGCGTAAGTTTCCCACCCATTTACTCAAACTACACAACCAACTAACACAAAAAAACCAGCCGGACTCAATGTCCTCGCCTTCTTCATGATCTTCCTCTTCGTCCCCGAGACCAAGCAACGTACCCTCGAAGAACTAGACTACATTTTCGCCATCCCAACCCGTACATTCATGAAATATCAAATCACCAAAACCCTTCCATACTGGATTCAACGATATGTATTTTTCAACAAGAATGCCGTACTAGAGCCCCTTTATCGTTTTGACGAGACGGCGGATTATAGAGCGCCCGATACGAAACTTACAGGACACCCGGAACAGATTGAGAAGGTGGAGAGGAGCAGTGAGGGAGAGAGCGCTGAGATTACGACGGGTGAGAAAAATTAATGATGTTAATGGGGAAAGGGAATGAAGGGCTGGGATTAGTCGATAGGATGTCTTCTATAGGAATAGAAAGATAGATAATGGAGGGTAGAGATACACAAATATACCAAGCTGGATCTTTTAAAAACTTGTTTCCTGTCTGCCTGCTTGAATCTGTGATTTTATGACACGAGGTGATTTATTTAGCTCATATTAATCGACGAAATCATGTTGATTCGAAAAGAGCCTGCAATGCTTTACATTACATCATTTCCTCATCAACAAACAAACTATGTCTTCTATCCCTACCACCTCCCCCCTCCTAACCGAGAAATTTTATCGAGAAATCAAACGTCGAATTCACACGCCATTTCACGAGATCGCTTTGTACACAGGTAGGTACACTGACAAATTGTTGAAATATTTCCTTCATTACTGCTACCAGAGCAACTAACTAATTCACGTTGTTTCGTTTTCATAACCGCATAATGCATGTATCGTATGCTTAATTATTCGTTTGTTTACCAATTCGCCCACAAGACATCACAAATCAAACGCCCATATGTACCGCCAAAATGCATATCGACCGCCCAAAAGGAAAGAAAGACCATGTGATGAACCTTTTTTCCGCAGCCAAACCATGTCCTGCAACAAAGAAACATTGATCCTTGAATCCTCTTTAGCTAGTCTCAGTCTCAACATCTGGTTGTCTACCACTCAGACTCGTCTTATTCTTCATTCTCCTTGCCGCAAACTTCATCTCATCCTTTGCGAAAACCAGATTTCTCATTGGCTTCCACTGCATAAGTCCCCTCTGCTTCCTATGCAAACCCTTTGAATTCTCCTTATAATTCTCATACTGTTTGATTGGATTACTGGAATGACTCGATCCGTTGTTTCCCTCCGTCCCGCCGTTCTCGATTGTTGATCTAGTCGTAGCATCATTCAAGCCTAAATCCGATTCCGCATCCGAGTCTGAGTCCGAGTCCGAAGATGTAGACGAAGTATTCCTGTCCTCGCTCATATTTTCATTGAGGTTCGCTTCAACACATCCACCCTCTCCTCGTGGTTTTCGTACCATGCTAGACTCATAATCAGCATCCTGATACTTCTGTCCGAAACCACCTTTATTGACGTACTGTGCAGGATCCTGACCAAAAGCTCCACTCCAATCTGTTCCATCTTGATCTAACCACTTAGCCTTTTCGTCTTCATCGGCTTGACTGAGAACATCTCTTCCTTGGGTTAAAGACTGATCATGAAGTTGTTGAACAACTGGTGGAATTTCTTTCGTTACAATCTTACCGCGTACGCCTTCGGAATGACATGCTTCCCAAGTTTCTTGAGTTTCTCGGGAATCATTGTCGGTGACAAACTTTTCGTGATCTTGATCCATACCAGCTTTGAATCTCCCCGAAAATCTGAGGCGCCCAATTTCCTCGATTTCCATGTCCGGGATTTCGCGGAAGTTCTCCTCTGTGATGTAATTCTGAGTGAGTCTCATGCCCTTGTCAGTTTTCCAGATCGGAATATCAATTTCTTCCGCCTTATTATCCTCCAATTTGTGGAGCCAAATTACTGCATAGGCATCTGCTCCACGCTTACCGGTGACGTGGAATTCAAATACTATTGGTGAACGATAACGATACTTGACTGGAAGTCGAATGTTATTTTTTCCATCTTTCTTGGCAAGATCCCAGTATACACCATCACCTCCTTCAGTCTTTCGACATTGGGTACGATTGATCTTTCCTACACTTCCTCCAGTTCGAAGTTTCAGTTTGGAGTTGTTAGCATAGCCAGTAGCCGAAATCCTATCAGATGTGAATTCAAATGTTCCTACATCCCAGCCCAATTGTTGTGGTGGTAATCTGGTCTCGACACTCCTGAAAAGAACGGAGATTCTGACGCGACCGAAACCAATTCCACCATCCAGAGGATACCATCTTGTAACTTGGGAACTTGTTTGTAGAAGATCCGATAACTTCAAAGGGACAACTCCGAGAATTGGATCGTGTTGTCTCATACGTTGATCCCGAACTGTAATGGTAATAATTGCTGATCTCCAATCACGAATAAAACGTTCAGTACCTGCATTGAAGATAGGCTTTGAGCTAACAACTTTGGAACGTGTACGATATACCTTGCAAAGGTTAGTTATAATGAATCAAAACGGAAAACTATACATACCAACTCGTCGTTATATAGAATCGTACAGTAACTGCTTGGCAACTTCTTATTTTCCTCTTCCTTATTCTCACCTGCGTCCACTGCTGGTTCGAATTCCCTCCCCTTGCGTTTGCCATCACTACCTTTGACATTTTGTAATTCAAGGTTAACAATTTGATGAACGATGACACTGCACACACCACTTGGCCACAATGGATCAGGTGGAGTATGAACCGCAGCATCTTCTTCAGGAGTATCAAGACTTCCTTTTGGATCTTGTAATTCTTCCTTGTCTTGCAATTCCTTGGGAAGATTAACATCCTTTCCGTGGCTTCTCATTGCTGGTCTGAATTGTGGTTTGCCAAAATATCCAACTTCCCAATGAAGTTCACCAGGCATAGAACTATCAGAATCCATACCACGGAGTTTAGAAACTTGTGGATACATCTTTCCTGGGTGTTGAATCATTTTCTGCATGGAAAGTTCGACTTTACCAACAACATCATCAGAAGTTGATCGATCAGAGTCCCAAAGTTCCATCGAAAGTTGTTCATCAGCTTTGATGAGATCAGGAGTGACGAGTAAAGCACACGTCTCTTCCCATACTGGGTTGAGATTATCCTGAATGACTCGAGTGCAGTACATTGGCTTTCCGTACTTGGAGAAGCTGACAGTGATGTAAGGATCACTGCCACCACCCTCACTTCCACGTCTATCCTGTTTACTGAGACCAGTAGCTTTATGAATTCGGATCCAGAGAACACCGAGTGCTTCAACATCCTTTTGAATGTCGTCACCTTTCAATAATTTGGCCATGTCTAAAGTCATAGATTTCGGAGCGACATATTCATTAGCAGCAGCACCAATGGCGTAATTGACGAAATTGGAGATAAGAGGAAGATTAAGAATGTTAATACCAGTTTCGATCATTGGTACACATCCAGCTTGAACCTTTGGAAGTCCCATCAACGTGAATGTTAGTGCCTTCAAGAATGGAGGCTCTGGTGAAAGTTGAAGACGTAATCGAACGGTTCCGACAAGACCTTGCAATTCAACAAAAATTGGTAGAGGACTGCATTGATTAGTAATGTCACACCGTGGAAGGAAACAACAACTTACACTCCGAAAAGTCCTTTCATACCAAGATAGAATACCAGTTGCATGTGCATATTTTTCGCCTTCTCGGAAGTTCCACCTCCTGAAGGTTGAGCATGATATGCGAAAGAGCATTCCAAATTGTAATAATCTCCACCTTCTTCATCGGCCGCCAGTTCTTGAGGATCTTTGTTCTTTTCGTTTTGTCGATGGATATCATCCTTCATTTCTTGAACATGACCATCGGGAAGGGCTCGCAAACTCAAAATTCGGAAAGGGTTTGTTCCTTGGTTGATTTCTGCGACTCTGACATTTTCAATAATACCAGGTACTGAAGCCTGCATGACATCTTCAAGAGTATCTGCAACAGACGCAAAAAGATCGGGGTCAATAAGTCCCCACATAACGCCCATGAGAGAATTCATCCATTCTACGGATTCCGGGATTAAATTTGCGGTTGCCTGAGAATATTAGCTTAAAGACTCAATTGTGAGATGCATATACCAACCATTTGACCCCTTTGTCTCTCACTCTCCCATTCCATAGCTCGGCCAGATCTTATGACCTCCTTTACCCAAAGAAATACACCTGATGAAACGCATGCTCCTAAAGGAATAAGACCATATAGAGCTCCCCCAAATAATTTTCCTAAAACTACAATACCCAAGAATATTCCAACGACAAGTAGCGTTGAGCGTTTCTCCAAAGATTCATACATCGGCTCATAGCTAACCGAGGGTGTAGGGTGGAATAAGATATTCGTCTTTTCTCCATGGATGGGAACATCGGACGTGCTTCCAGGTTCTACTGGATCTGGTGGCGCGGTAATATCTTGATTATTTCTATATTCTTCCCCGGATTGGGTAGCTTCTGTCTTGACCGGTGTAGACTTGTTAAGATTTGCATTTGGAACGGAAAGCTGTTGCCACGAATGTTAGATATATATCAAAAATCAATAAGGCTGGCAGATGTAGCATACCTGTGGATTATCAACCGCCTTCATGAAATCTGCATTAACATCCTCAATTTCCACATCTTTTCCAGTTGTTGGATCGGTAACGATCTTCCTCGTTCCTTCAACTCCATGTGGCTGTCCTTGTGTATGATCTGTCGCATCTCCTTGAACGCGTGATTGCAATTGTTCATTGATTTTTGCATCTCTATCTCTCTTATCCGAATCTAAACTCTCCACGAATCGTTGAATGTTCGGAATTGGATTGGAGCCGGAATAATGTGCCCCGGGACCTTTCTTATGATCGTTCGACATCTTGATAAAGACGGAGGATTATTATTGAATTGAGGTCAAATGTAAAGGCGGAAGGGGAAGCGGGGAAAGTATCTGCGGGATGAGTTCCAGATCGACCCAAACAGCAAACCAAAATGCCGTTTCTGATCAACAAGAACTGCAATTGAAGATGTTCTTACTGCCTTCTTACTGCCTTGACAGCAACTTCGGTATGTTGGATTGTAAAAGAAAGAATTGGGTATCGATTATGAGTATGAAGAGTCGAATCACGAGAAAAGGACTAAAGAAGACTTGTAGCAGCCATGGTAAAAATAATTGCTTGGAATTGATGTGGAATTGCATAACAAGGAAAAATGGCTAGGTCGGTCGGAAGTGATGTCATATTAAGGTAGCTTGAGAGCTTCACTGGAGACATTCTTCGGCCAAGCGTCAGCCACGCAATCACAAAGCGGGATGGGATTGGGATTGTGTTTATGTACATGTAGACATTTCTTGATTTTATCTCTGGAATGCGAAGATATCATGAAACACGCTTGGTTGCTCTTTATGTTGTTAGAATTGATGGAGGCTCACAATTGCGACGATGATGCTCAAAGAGTTCTTTTGGTCGGGGAAAGTTCTCCGAGGTGATGATCTACCTACTGCTTGTCAGCTTACCTAAGCACACACATTTGCTTGACAGGGCCAAGATGAGGGGCACCTGTCTTGACAAAGGGAAATACACAAAGCACACTACCTATGCGTAGGTAGGTGTTGATACTCGGAGTCAATCAAGATTTGGAGTTAGAAATCCGTCGAGAGTATCCAAAAGCCTTTCTTCATATTGTATCCTATCAACATCAAAGTCTTTCAATATCCATGGATGTACTAGATATGACTGATTCAATTGAGTTTACCTTTTTCACCTACCCATGTACTAGGTAGCTATGTGGAGATAGCTTCGACCTATAAATATCTACCCAGGCACAACACTTTTCCCTGGTTGGTCTGCTGTCGCCCTGATCGTTTGTGACCAATGGAATATCTTGGAACTTGGACCTATGGACTGACTTGGCTATCTATCTCCAAGGTAACATTTATCAAACATTGTCATTGTCACTGATTGTGTCCTAGTATAGAACGTCGATATCGACATCGGTTTCGAAGCCGACATCATCCATAGAACAACAACACCCATCACCCATTGCGACGCACTTATCAGTCCTTTGATATGGGGCATACTCGATTCATCAATTGTTGGAAATGTTCCCACGGCAACCTAGATAATTCTCCTCTTACTATCGATGAAGATGGTGTGATAATTGATAACCAATTTTGTGACGCTGATGCGGAAGTGGTGGACCTCAAAGACAGTATTATCGCTCCTGGCTTTATTGAATTGCAAATCAATGGGGCCTTGGGTTTCCATTTTGCAAATTATGTCGATCCTACCAGTTATCATGATGGTGTACAAAAGTTATCGCAATATCTCCCAAGCACAGGAGTGACTGCGTTCTACCCCACAGTACCAACTGTCCGACCTGATGTTTTTCACAACGTCCTACCATTTCTGAGACCATCCTATTCATCTACCGGGGCCAGCGTATTGGGTGCACACGTTGAAGGACCCTTCCTTGCTCCGAGTAAGAAAGGTGCCCACAATGCCGGAAATCTGCTCGTTCCCGAAACTTCGACTCTTGAAGATGTCTATGGAAAACACAATCTCTTAAATGCGATTCGAATTGTAACAATGGCTCCAGAGCTACCCGGGGCATTGGAGCACATCCGAAAACTGAGAGATGAGTACCCAATTGCGGTGAGTATGGGACATAGTGCGGCCACCTATGAGCAAGGATTGAAGGGTATGGACGCCGGTGCGTCTCTATTGACTCACACTTTCAATGCTATGAATCCTTTGCATCACAGAGAACCAGGGCTAGTTGGTAAGTTCAACTAAAGTTCAAGGGATTTCGCATAGCTCGGTTTGCAGTTCAGCGATCAGAGGCTCTCAATGTTTGACAGCAATATAATTTCCATAATGGATCTGGGGTTTCTATCGCTTAAGAAATCCAACTTAATCCAGATATTGAGAATGTCTGATCGTTGGACTACAGCTGAGACTGAAGTACACCCTGGAACTGAAATGGGATGGAAATTGAGCTAAGCGTTCATAGGTCCTTATATCTAGTCCAAAAGCTGGAAATCGATGGAACCCGTCTTTCTCATTGATTGCCGATTCTATTCAGTGAGTAAATTCTTTAACTCACATTTACTTGAAGCTAGATCGAAATATGTGGTAGTTCAAATCTTTCGTCTTTAAAAATTACTTTATTGCGTTCGACTTTTTACTTCTTCATCTGGATCGTGGGAGCAAGATTTGCGGCTAGGCTTTGATATGCTGGGAATTCCAGCCCTAACTCTTGCCCTAGCACTCTTTGATCATTTCTCCCATTATCTCAAACTATTTTTCTTTTTCTCTCCTGTGGCCCGCTTTCATGCTGACAACCAAAAGCCTTCATCCATCAATTGTCTCCCTGGCCTATCACGCCTCTCCACATGAGGCTATCTTAGTAACCGATTCCGTCGAGCTTTCCGGTCTTCCAGATGGTATTTATCCTGGGCATTCCCAGATCCCGCATCCACAGCTCAAAGTAGGGAACAAAGTGACTATAGCTGGAACTGAAACCCTTGTTGGTACTTGTATTCCACTAGATCAGTGCGTCAGGAATCTCATGGAATGGGCAAACATACCAATCGAAAAGGCCGTAATGACAGTCACTGAGAACGTAGCAGCTCCGATGGGTTTAGTGGATAGAGGTGACTTAGGATCCGGCTGCAGAGGGGATTTTGTGGTGATGGATGAACAAGGGTATGTAAAAGAGACTTGGGTGCTAGGAAAGAAGATATGGAGCAGCAGTTTGAAGTAGATAGCTCGAAGGTTCAATACACGTAGACCCTAGAGTGCTTTCAAAGTCCTCATAATATCATTTCCTCACATCGATAACTTTTCAGATTTCTTTCATTCATCTTCTAAGCCGGAACTTTCCCTCAATAGTAAATATCAACTATCGGACTTCGTAACGTTTGCAAGTAAGTTTGATGGCTGGTGAACGATTAACCTCATTTGATCAACCACAATTCCTGTCATTCTTGGTACAAACATTACGGTGAAAATAACTACTAGGTATTATCTAAAAAGTCTTTCTTGTTCGCGGAAATGTTTCGTTTGTGATAACCCTTAAGCTTCAACAGCCTATATTTTGCCGATTACTCAGCATAATGGTACTAATCACACCCTATGCCAATTCAGCCGTTAAGATTCAACAGCGACAATAACCAGCGCAACAACGAACCCAATCTAGACACATTGATCTGAGAGCCCACAAATACTCACTGTACCTTTTTTGACTCAAGCAATTAACCGTGTATTCTCGAAAGATTTTGTGGGTACCAAGCTTCCAAACACCCACTTCTTCCGCGAACAGACATCTTGTCAAAATTAATGCGATGAAAATTTCAGGGGGTTCTGTCCATACGAAGATATCAGCCACTTATATTCTTGTGGAATGTCCACTCATTTTGAATCGAGCTAGGTATATTGAGAAATACATGGGCATTGTTATGTATGGAGAGCACTGCCAATTGTCTTCCAGATATGAAACATTTTTCCACGCGACATCTTTATACAATCAAGAAGATGCGTGTTGCACTGGGGAATGCTATTCTTATGCCATTATTCAATTTTGTCAGAATGATATACTGTTAATATAAGGTTAAGTATCGAAAAAGGTAGCCGAGTCCTCTCTCATAACGGCAAGGAGAAGTCTGAGATTCTTTAGTGGAGCATCCCATCAGCCCATGTGGATTCCGGCAATTCATAGGGATGACGAGTCTGATCGCTTGGCAATCAGAGCATGCGACGACAACCCCGCTCTCCTCCAATTATACTTCAGGATTTGGGGGTTTATGCTTAAATGTTAAGAAGGAAGCGAAACTAGATTTGTTCTATAACATTGGCCTGTGGAATTGCATATGGAAATTTGTAAAAAGCATACGACGCATTGGATGGTAAATTTACTTTACGTTGGACTTGCTTCCGTGGATACTGGGAATTGTTGGGGCTAGAACTAAGGTTCCCTTGCGATTTGATCATTAGTATTGCAAAGAGTAAGACTTGATTGATTAAGCCTCATCCACGACTGAAGTTCTACGACCTCGTTGTGGCATTCGCGTGATGGTATTTTTGGTATAGAATGCTGCAAGTTGCCTGTTTACTTCATGGAAGAGGCCGGAAGCTGGATTGGACTTTGACTAAAGTTTGAACAATAGATACCTTAGAGGGCTCAAAGCATTGCTGACCCTCTTCCCTAGTCAGCTTTTAAGACGGCAAATCGTAGTGGCACTCTACAAGCTTATAGTTAAGCTCTCCCTACGGAGAATACTTGCGCGTCCTACCGTTATGACCAGGTTAGGGACCAAGGATTGATATTTGTTATACAGTCATATTCATTGGTTCTTCAGTGAATTGTACTCCATTATGAAAGCTTACGACATTATTGATGGGGAATTCTTCATATCATATTCCCTAACAAGTAAGAAGAACACGGTGAACGGTGCACGTTATTGGAAGTGGCTTGGACCAATAATGAATGAGATGTTTCGAAACAAATGGATTGACTTCAACTAAAGCTTACGAAATTCATTGCGAAGACAGCAAGTACCTTATATTTGCCAAGACTGAATGTACTATTGACCTTGCTGGTGATAGTGGATATCAGTGACATTCATGGTGACGACTTGCTAACATGATGGCGGTGTTGATGAATGGAGAATACAGTGGTAGGAAGTATAGTTTCAAAATAAACAATTAATACCTTCAAGAACATAAATAGGTTCTCAACGTCTCTCTTTCCTATCACCATCATCCTCTTTATCTTCACTTCCACTTCACCCTTTAAATTTGAACTCAAAGCATTCTTTTGGATTTACATTCTTGAACATTCAATATGGTTCAAATCTCTAAACTTGCCTTTGCTCTTTCGGCAGCTTGCCTTGCACCTGTCATCGCCCATCCTGGAGAACACCATGATCACCATGCCATCAAGCGAGAAATCATTGCTCGTGATCAAATGGCTTCCGCCTGCCAAAAGATCTCTCGATTCTTGCTCTGGATCGTTAAAACATCGTCAACTTAACGCGCGATCCGTTGCTCGTCGTGCAGAAGCTGCTCGTTCTCTCCGTGCCAAGCGCGATATCAAGACTTGTGAGTAGCACCTACCAATTCCTAGGACTTCTATTCCATTCGAAAAACTATAGTATGCGACATCTCTACAGAAACATCATACTAATATGAATCTACAGTGCCCAAGAAGTTCCGTCGTGATCTCGCCACTCTTGAAGTCTACGAAGCTATCAACCACAACCAAACCGGTGTTCTCAACTACAGCGTCAATACCCCAGAATCCACCATCTTTGCCGCTAACACCTCTTGCATCTTGACTCCTGCCAATACTGATGGCCTTACTACGTTCTAGGTGAAACTATCCGCCAAGACGTTACTGAAGGACAAGCTGGTGTCCCTCTCCATCTTGAGGTTCAATACATCGACATCACAACATGCGAGCCCGTTCCCGAGGTCTATGTCGATATCTGGAACGCTAACGCCACTGGTGTCTACGGTGGCATTAACGTCACTGGAAATGTCGCCGATGGTGGTTACGATTCTACCTTCTTGAGAGGTATTCAAAGCTACCGACTCTGACGGAGTCGCTACCTTCGATACCATCTTCCCGGCCATTATGATGGACGTGCTACACATACCCATCTCCTCGCTCACTCTAACGTTACCGTCCTTGCAAACAACACTATTCAAGGAGGCGCCGTTACCCACATTGGTCAACTTTTCTGGAACGAGGTTCTCCGCAGCGCAGTCGAAGCCACATACCCATACAACACCAACACCCAAGCCGTTACCTCCAATGCTTGATGACATGTGGTCCATCGTCCAAGCCGAGAACGATTTCGATCCTTTCCCCGAATTCATGTATTGAGCGACGATATCACCGATGGATTATTGGCCTGGATTCAGATCGGTATCAACACCACTGCAGATTGGTCTGATGATGATTACTATAGTGTCGCAGCTACCATCCAAGCTGATGGCGGACATGCTAGCACTTCTAGCTTCTCCGGCGGTGGAGGGTGCCGGTGGTGAGGGTGGTAACGGTACAGCTCCAGGGAATGGAACTGCCCCACCTTCTTAAGGAAATTGCAGATTTCAAGTTTACTGTTACTGTTTGTGTAAATAAGAGTTCAAGTAACTGCAGAGCTACTGCTGTTGGCTCACCGCATGTTAGATTATTTGTTTCAAATATACCTTTTTGACCCTACCTTGGCATTTATCAAGAACGGATACTTATTTATTTTGAAAGTGATGATTTGGTGATAATTATTGTAAATGCTGAAGCAGCTACTAATCTAGACATCGAAATTGAGCCCCCTCATGGTGATTATTTGGCGAGGCCACGGAATATTCATTTGACCATGCAACTCCGTATTTGTTCTAAAGCTTCATTCGTAGTGCCTTTCTTCGAATACATTAAGGTAAGGTTTATCTTTTATTTTTTCGAAACAAGTTATAATACGATTGAATCTTTATTTTCCTTCTTGTTAAGTTATTGAAAATGGTGGAAAAGAATTCAACATTCACTTTAAACCATTTCTCAATTCTATGGATGCCCCATGTTCATACTATGTATCGCCAAACATACTGGTACTTCAGTAATAGTCTATATTCCTTTGCTTCAAAAGCTCGATGTCTTAGTATTTGCTGCTGATCACTTCCATTGCCTAATCAACCAATATTTATTGTTTATCCCCTATCGTAGAGTGCGTTAAATGGGCTCCGTCGCTTAACAGGGATCTTGTCAACCAATCAGATCATCAGGATTCCTTGAATTTAATCTAATATTCACAGTTTATTCTTTAAAATAAAATTCAATCCATATCATATCTATATCAAAATTTCAAATATAATAATATATACTAATCTCCAATCTTTGCTTTTTAAAATTTTAAGAAAATCGAAATTTGAAATTAAGATTCTATACTATAAGTAATGTGACTGAAAAACCATTGAAATAGCTATTCTATCCAATAAGACTTTATTATTCAAGGTATATCGCACGGACCACTTTCGGAGCTCCCGGAGGCACTCTACTCGAGTACCTACTTATATAGTGGCTGCATCTCAACCACCATCGTGAACTCAACTTCAAACAATTAACCTTGATCGCCTTGAAAAAAACTTCATAAGCTTAAAGGTTATCATGGAACTCACTAATACATACCAAGCTCTCTTCCTCGCGATATCTTCCCTTTCGGCTCTCACCACCGCCACATCCACACCCCCTACCGACCCAGCATCCACATGCTACACCTCTCCACTCCCTACCCTCTGTCCCTCGCTTTCTAATGATACACGCTCTATCCCCTGGGGAACCCCTTCATTCCTCCTTCCAAATGGCACAGTCTGCTGCGATTCTCTTACCCAAATACGCGCCGGTATTGACGACATAGATACGCAGCTCCTCGGCCTCCTAGCTCAAAGAGCAGCATATGTAAGAGAAGCGACGAGATTCAAAGGGACATTGGATACGGTGGATGTGCCGAGTAGAGATCAAGAGGTTATTGAAGGTGCGGTTGCCAAGGCCAATGAGACGGTACCGAGGTTGCCGGAGGTGGTTGCAAGAAGTGTTTTCGAGGCGATTATCAATGGGAGTGTGCCGTTTGAGGAATGTGTCTGGGGGAGTTTTGAAGGGCTGGTGTAGAAGTGGTTTTGGTATGTCTGCGGCAGTGAGTGTGGGTGTGAATGCCAAATTGAACGGAAATTAGAATGGAGACGAATCTAGACCCACAACATTCGAATCCGTGGACCAACTACTTAGACATGTCAATTTTTGAGTGGGTTTTATGTGGAGGGCTTGGGATATCTGTAATATGAAGTTTTGGGAGGTAGACGCTAGGATCCTTGAAGCGAATGAGCTGTAGAGTTGAGCAGGTTGTCAGGGGCGGGAGAGTGTGGGCATCCATGGATTGTAGATTTCTAATATCAATAGCCTCGCGGTACTAATCAAGAATTGTATCACAAACGAAGCATTCTAGAGAGATTGAATGATGCCAAGAGAAATTCAAAATGTTGGGCGAACAGACGCTAAAATTTAATGGCTAGGACCTCGATATATACGGTCATCGTCTCCACTATCTACAAGCCTCTAAAGCCCATAATTCCTCATATGTATCCAAAAAAATATTTATAGCACTAATCTTGAGTTTAGGGACTTCTACAAAAGACAACTTCGTCGAGTTCAAGAATATCATTGCACATACTTTGTCAAACAGGGCCAAGGTGGAATAGATGCATTGCAAGCGAATACCACCAGTATATGCTACATACCCAATGGCTATGTCAAAGATCATGCTTGCCATCTCGAGGACTGTCCCATCGATTCGATTCGAAACAATGGTTTCCATTGTGTACTAGAAGACCATAGGACCAGTCTGTGATGAGAGAAGCTCGTCGAATCACGTGGTGGCTTCAAGTCTGAAGTTTGTGGCTATGGCGTTCATGTATTTGAAAGACACGATGTTTAAGAGCATCCAGAAGGCCTGTTTTTTTCAATCTAACGATGAATCCAAACGGCATCACTTTACTAGAATCGACGTTTCAAAGCAGATACTTTGCTAAAGACTGATGAATGCCTGGGGCTTCTACTCAATGGCGATCAACAAGCGCTCTACAAGCGCTCTATCTGACTTCAGTCATACGGCGATATGATCTGGTCTCTTCGCTTGGACCTTCTCCTCACTCATCAGTACGTATTTAAGAAATAAGTTCTGAATTTGGCTTCTAATCCAGAGAAGACAAGGTTGCTTAGTTCAATTTTATACAACTATGTATTGCCACATCGCTTAAATACCAGGGATTCAAAAATATATGTATAAAGCGAACGTTCACGGTTGAGCTTAGTTGGTGGAAATCTCTTCAGAGAGTGTGAGGTACTTTCCTGTAACACACAATGTTATCATAGCCATTGGATTCACCTTCAATGTAGCTATGATGGTAATATTGCCGACTTTTGGGCCTGGAGCTTCGGTTATCCTCGGTTGACAGTTAGGAACGGCTTGAAGAAACTCACTGGAGATAGCCCAATGGGTATGTTTCAAGTGAATCAAGGGAAATTACCAGATGAATTCTTTGGGCCCACACGTTGACTGGATAATCCGTACTCACCATTGAAAGACTCTCAAAATGGGTATCGGCCAGAAGGGAGAGAAGGGTTGTTACTTTGGTATGTTTTTGCTAAATCTTATGATGAAAAAAAAAATTGTACTTAAAGCTTATAGTTCTTGGATAAGTTTCTGTTTCCTCAGGCTAGTAATTGGCTTTCGAGCGACAGTCCGTTGAAAGATTATAAAGAAAATTTGTGGAGGCTTAGATTAATAATCCAGAGACTTCTCTGGTATTTTGTTATGCATTTGCTTTCCAAATACTATACCAAGAACTTTTCACTAAGCACAATCCCAGACAGACTACTTATCAGCTTTGATGTGCTTATTTTAGGTCAATCCATGTATTGAGTACTGGAATTACTTGTATTCAAGCGTTTCTAGTCTGAACAAAGCCATTGCATCGCTAGAGCAGCTCAACCAGCAAACACCACCCCGCTTGGTGATTGCCATATCAGCAGACTTGCTATACAGAACAACAAATCATCACAACTAACATGCAAACATATTTCTTGTTCAAGGCTGGCTAATAAAATATAAATAGCAACCCAATAACATGACAACATAAGTCAAAACTGAAATATAAAAATTTAGGAAACGAAACTTCACAGAAGTGTATTCCTTTCTTGGCATGTTCACTTTGACATACAACACAGCCTGAAGTAAACAACTATGGAAACATAATTCAGCAGAGATTGATTAAATGTTCTAAAAACCAATCCAGACAAAAAGAAACAACGATGGAAAAGAAAATTTCAGAGAAATCTGTTATTCATCGTTAGAACGAGGAGCACAAAGTCACACAGGGCATCTTTGCAAGTTCAACAATGCTTGGACTAGAGTATGATCAGAGCATTGCGTAAGTACGCTTTATGTTCAGAATCTGTCCTCTACGAAGGATTTCTCTGTTGCGGAGCCTGGCCTCAACATAGTGGAGAGTCAAGGAGTAATTGCCACTTGGATGGCGCAGACATATGAAAAAAGGATCTTTACTCACCATACATTTCACCTTTCAAAAATCACGTGCATTGTATTTCTGGTATTCAATCTTATTAAATTGATCTGTATGGTCTTTCTGTCCCACTAGCATTTCTTAAAATACATTGCTACTTTCAAGTACTTCTTTTACTTCATTATCTCCTGAGAACTTTGTCCGAGACTCGAAGTTGAAAGCTACATGGTTCTTCTTAATTATTTGAGGTTTTCATACAGTAAATGCCATTCAACATGTTTGGCTATGTGAAGCTGACGGTATGATATGACAAAATCAATCCTCAGAGAGCATTCTGGGTTCAGCTAGCCACTGCTTAGTTCTCAGTATCGTCGTCGCTGTTCTCGTCCGTGATACCCTCATCCTCCTCGGGTTCCTCATCTTCATCCTCCTCGGAGTCGCTGGCCTCTTCATCGTTGTTATTATCGCTGTCCGATGTTTCGTTGCCCAGATAATTTTCTTGGCGATCAAAGGTGCCAGCTTCAACCATAATCTGCAACTTTAGACCCTCCCATCCCTCCTTGTTCTGGTAGAGCCAGATCGGAAGATTAGGGGCCTTCCTTGCTATGCTTCCCTCAAATTTTGCTTGAGTATCTGCAATTACTTGGTCTGCGTATGCTTCCGAGACCTTTTTAAAGGTCGGCAGAGCCTTGTAATTGATCTGAATTCTGCGGCGCTTCTCCTGCAACATGTCCAACTTAACATCAAATTCAGTCCATTCAATGAGCATGAGCTGGCGGTTCTCATTGATATCGCTCTTGGTTGTGTAAATAATGGTTTCTCTGAAACTCAAGCTCCAATTGTCGATATTGCTTAGTCTATAGTAGGCCGCCCAAGGACTGTAGATGGCTGATTCGTGGGAACAGTCACTCACTGCAATTTTGGCAACCTTAGTGGCTTGCATGACGTTGCACATGGTAATGAAAGCCTCATCACTCCAATCTCCTTCAACAATCGGACAGATGCGATCAATTAATGGATTAAACCAAAGATTCTTCAGTGGTTTCAGTGGTCCAATATAGCCTCCAGTTTGCGCAAGGGAAGCTACGTTGCATCGTTTGTCGTGATGCTGGTCCTTGAACCACTGTCTCGATTGTCGGCAGACGCGCAATGCTATGGAATATGGCTCATTACTCCATAGTTCAAAGCTTTCTCCCACTTTCTTACATCTGACTGTAATATTTTGTGGCTCTACGATATATGTGTGACTCCAAATAAGGTCCAATATTTCGTTTGGGAGATGAATGGGTGCCTTCCTAGAGATATCGGAGGCACGAAGTGGTGCAGATTGATTGCTGATCTGATGATGTGTATCAAGGTTTGTGATTTCCATGTCGATCTCACCGGATGGGTCCACCTGTTCATTGATTGACGATCTTGAGTTCTCCATTGTCGCGTTAGGTATTGATAGTTCAAAAGTAAGCTTGAACTCGAAGTTAATAGTCGAGAGGATGACGTGGGAAGTCTTTCGTTGTAAAATGTTATCAAGATAGTATTCAGAGATAAGAGTTGTGAATGGATGTCTTGAAAGTGTCCAGGATGATATTTTTGAAGGAGAAATAATCTAGCCTTTATAGACTGCTAATAATGATTCTGAGAAGTGTTTAGATTATTACCTGGTAGCGCAATAGCGCGAGTTTTTCACGCTATCGCGCTATTCGCGTGGACCACCGGGAGAGAATCGCCGTATCTGGATATATCTTGATATCATCCTTACTATATACAGTATAAGCAAAGCTTTTTCTTTGTTCTTTTCTTCGTGTTGAAGGCTCCAAGTTCTCTTGTACTGCTACGCTTAGCTTTTGAATTCACTTGTTCACTTAGCATTTATGCAAGCCGACTTTCTTCTCAAGAGGAGAAAAGGAATAGTGATTTTGGTTTTGTGTTTAGGAATGAAGATAGCAAAGATAGAGTAATCTCGTTGAATATTCGATTATTGTGACCAGAAAAAGTCTTAATTTTGTATTGTAGCGAGATTGATTTCAAATTTCATGTCTCACGTTTTTGATAGTCTCGCAATCTTACCTTTCCCTACACTCTGAGCATCTATCTGTGAGTTATCGATAAATGCTAAATTAGCTAGCTGTTTGAATCCATACTACATCTCCTGAAACCATACCGAGCAGAGAATGTATCTTAGCACAATAACTAGTATCTTGTTTGCACTTATATAAAAGAAGGTCTATACTCAGCAGAATTTTGCCTCGCAATGAGTAGTATATCAATCAAGTTTGTAGCGCATCCTGTTATTTGATTTTTTGTGTATTTGCTCCAGATGTATTTCCCGTCGTCAAGCCTCGCTCTACGATTTTCTCGGCTTATGTTGCTAGGCATGGTGCATTTGTACAAACTCCGTAATGCAATTTAGCTTCAGTTGTATTTATAAACCAAGGATGAAACTGAAAGAGTTATACGATCCTCTGTATGTTTGTTGAGTCGCCATCAACTATCCATTGTCTAAATGGACTTTGAATTTGATAGGATAGGAAACTTGTGATATTTGACATGTCGATAAGGCTCAAATTTAGGAAATAATATATTTACTGCAATTAGTGATTCAATGAACTCAAAATATTTATTATATGGATTTGGTTTTGCTATTCTACCTCAATTACCTAATCGGTGAAGTAGTCATCACTGTTTTCATTTTCGATGCCCTCGTCTGGCTCAAGCTCCTCGTCTTCATCCTCGTCATGGCCTACATCATTCTCGTCGCCGACATTGCCATCTCCACCATTTTCATCCTCTCCAATCTCAGGATCAAGAGATCCAGCCTCTACCATAATTTCTAAATCAAGGTCTGCCTTAGCTGTCTTTTCAAAAAACCAGGCCGGAATCCCTTCCACCATTGTCCTTTCTTCGCCATTACGCTTGGCCTCTTCGTCCGCCATATCTTGAGCATCTTTTATTGCAATGAGTTTCTTCAGAGTTAGCCTGGAATGATGCATTTGAATGCTCCGAGCCTTGCTTTGGTACATACTTAGAGTTATTCTGCTGCTTTCCCATGGAGCAAAGTTTGGTCTATAATGCTCGTCGAAGCTTCGTTTCGTTGTGTACATTATGATTTCTTTGAAGCTTGAACTCCAATTTTCTATGTTTTTCATACTGCAGAAGGATCCCCATTGACTCTTCAGAGCATCCTCGGCATGTGTGCAATCGCCAATAGCAATCCTGCACACTTTGATAATTTTCAAAACTTCGCAGAGTGTGTAGAAGGCCTCTGATTTCCACTCCTGTTCCATGATGGGACAGAGTGTGTCTATTTCTGGATTGAATTAGAAGTTTTGCAGGGGCTCTAGGGGCCAGACGTACGTAGCCTCTGCGGTGGGCCAAGTGAGATACGACATGCTGTGACTTAGCCCACTGTCTCGACCGGCAGAAAATTTGTGAAGCCTTTGACGGTTGCATGTCACTATGGATCTCGAATGTGTTACTGGATCTCTTGCATCTAACAGTAACATTTCGAGGTTCTTGGATCTCGGCTTCGGCCATAATCGTGTCGAATATCTCATTTGGAATGGTGGAGAGATATGATAACTTAAGAACTTTTGCGTCAGACAGTGACATATTCTTGAATGCGATAGTTGATGAATCCATCTTGTAGGTTGATTTTGTTTGCCTGAATTTCGATGGTATTGCTTCTTCTGGATTCAAGCTTGAAAGTGTGATTGTGGTATGGACTCTGGAGATGTCGCCCATGGAAATGTTATTAAATTAATGTTGCAGTTAGATATTATCAACGCAAAGTAGTCCTTTTAGAGAAGATTATGTTAGGAAGAGAAATATGTAGTAAGCATTCAACATACAATCTTTCTGGTTTAGATAGAGGTTTTATAGGGGATGTGCTCATCGATGCCACGCAATTGTGATGTGGCATATCGCCGTAATGAGGGTAGTTTCTCACAATCTTGATCATATACAGTACAAACAAACTCCTTTATTTGTTCTCTCGCCTATCTTAAGAACTGTGAACTTTTCAATACGGCTGTCTGGAAATCTTCAGTTGACTTGCCCTGCTCAAAACATGACTGTCGATTTAACTCCCCCTCCGCCCCTATCTCGTCCCACAAGCGGAAAGAAGAGGTGGAAATGAGAGCTAGTGATCTGGAATGTGTCTTGGGAGGGTAAAGTAACGATGCCTTTCTACTGATTAGTTTATCACTAGATCATTATGATTAGAATAACCTGATTTCGAATTTCTACTTTTGCCTATTTTTTGAACTGTTATCATCAAGTTCCAGAGGAATTACAATCTATCTGGCCCCTTGAGTTCCTATCACTACTTCTCCAATCAAACCGAGTAAAACAAGAGAATTGATTTTGGTACACCCTGACTGAGTACTTGTACAATTGTGGGAGACATTACCAATCTCTAGCATGAAACCGTAGGCAATATGATCATTATGCCTTTGGTATGTCTGAGTTTTGAGTTTATTTTTTAATTCATCAATTGAAATATGATCACAAATACTTTATTACATAAAGTTGCTATCAGTCCGTTAGTGGTGGCACGTGAATGAAGCCCATGATACATTCTGTCATCTGTTTAAGACTTTCTTTTCTTTTTGCAAAATACAATGGATAATTATAAGGTTCAAAGTGATTTAAATATGGTTGTACCTCAGTGTGAACACACTTCAGTCTTTTTATCTTAATATTTATATTTTCTCTTCGACATAATGTTAACTTTCTTCTTTCTGTATTCCTCCATATTCTTCCGATTCCTCGCTGAAGTCTGTATCTTCTTCACCATCTCTATCCTCTGTCCCTTCACTTTGATTCAGACTACTAGTGCCTCACCAGATTGTTCATTCTCTCTGCACATGCGATAGATGTAGATATTAGCTTTGGAATCAGTTTCCTCATTACTTTTCGGCGATCTATCATCATCATCTGCAACAATTAATCCCCAGGGTCGAGCGAGCCCACTTCAACCATCGGCCTCAAGTTGAAGTCGCGCCTAGTACGCCCAGCTTCAAATAACCAAGCAGGTACCCCATCCTGCTTAATCCTAGAGATTCCTTCGCTTTTTGCAACATCATCTGCCATGTCTTGCTTTTTTTCTGCAACCTGAAGTTTTCGGGTTGCAAGTCGAGCCTTCAATCTCTGCCCTTCACGAGCTCGCTTCTCGCGATAGCCTAGAGTAACTGGAGCTGGAGCTCCATTCCAATCAACGAATTTCATTCTTTGATGCACGTCAAGACCAATCTTTGTCGTGTACATCAATGTCTCCGAAAAAGTAGAGCTCCAGTTTTCGATTTCGGACCACCAGTAGAAGGAAGCCCAAGGTCCTCGAGCAATGTTGTCAATGCCAAGCGTATGAGAACAATCACTAACAGCGATGCGCTCTACTCCAATAGCTTTCATAAACCAATAGAGAAACTCAACGGCTTCTCTTGTCCATTGTGTTTCGTTGATTGGGCAGATTCGGTCACGTCTAGGATCTAAGTAAAGTGATTTAACCTGGCTATGAGATCTCCTGTGGCCTTTTTTTCGCAGAAGTCTTGCTACGTTACTTTCTGTGCTGGCCCATTGTCTTGATCGCCGATGGACACCCAATGCTGTGATATTGGATTTTGCTTCTGTACTGTAGATCTCGAAGCTTTTTCCAACAAGTCTGCAGCTGACAGGAACGTTCCGACCCAGTCCAGTATCTGCCATCTCCCAGATCCTTTCGAACAATTCTTGTGGGATATTATTCATGGTCGTTCGATTGGATCTCGATTTTGTTCGAGACGTAGAAGGTGCAGTAATAGCTTGAATTGAGCTTCGGGACATGGTGGTCGATATTAATGTTGGTCCTTGTCGTTGATTGAAGGGAGGGAATTGAAAAGAGGAAAATTCGATATCGAAGTGATATGAGAAGGATAGTTTAATGGATTGCTATCGCTGATAGATATCGAATTGCCTTGTCAAGATTTCGCGAAAAGATTCAAGTATCAGTTAGACCTAAGAGAGAATATATTTTGGGAAGAGAATTTCAGTATTTTTCGCCCATCAAGACCGCGACCGCGCGAACACGCGATCAAATGAACGGAATCATTACGCCGTATTATAACGGGATACGAGGTTATATTGATTATATACGTGCGCCAGATTGAGAATTAAGCGAGACGTTTCCTAAACCTGCGCAATTCGTTTCCCCGCATCACATTTTACCGAAATATGTAGTGCTACCTAAAAACTTTATCTTCTATAGACAGAATTTAACTGCGTGATATGAATCTTGACCGTAACCTCGATCTCTTCGAATGAGTATACATTTCTGATACGGTGACATATCTTTGATCTTTCGATCGGGGCCATCTATACCGCATGATAAGATGTAGTGCCAAAATATGGACTATTCACTTCTCATGAAGTTTATTCGGTGTAATCAAGCTCGACCGTGTTTCCTGTGGTTTGGTATAAATGTGTTCATCTTTTCAGGATCAGTTTCTTAAATTCTTGTTAATACACAAACTGCTTTGAAAATACATTTGTGATTGAAACTCCATTTTTCAATTGTACCCCCTTTAAAGAAAATGAAAAAACAAGGGAAACCCATGAAACGTTTGGGACGAGCGCGACCAGCAGCTCAACAGCCTCTACCAGATACCACCTGTGATGTAACGCCAGGACTTCAAGCTTCTACAAATTCGACGGAATCAATTCCTAGCTCGACACAGAATGTTTGGTTTGAAAGTTTACCAAACGCGACCGGACCAACTTTTAGCGCTAATTACATGGCCCAATTCTCATCAATTCCGCCAAATGACCACGTCTTAGCTCCTGTCTCCTCTCGAAAAGTAGTGCTAGATGAATTCACAGTTTTCAGAAACGTTCCAAGAGAGATCCAACTGATGATCTGGGAAAAGACCGTCGATGTAAATCCGCGAAATGTTCCAGTTGGAATCATGCCACAATTAGGCCCGGGGGATTCAAGTTTCGAACCGACATTCCCATTCCAGAGGGCTTCATGGCATGTAAAGATTATTACGAGGCGGCCAGAAAACGCTACAGTCTATTGGATGACCGCCTGAAGGCTAACGACATGTCCATGGTACAACATCTTCCATCTAACTTCTGGTTCAATCCCGCGATCGATAGATTTTGTCCAGTTCAGGAGTGGAGCCCTCACAACTTCGAAGTTGGTCTCAAACTTTTCTTCCAAATCCTTCAAGTTTCGAGAATTGCGATTAATGATTACGCGACCGATGATGCGCGCCATAATTGCGAGACATGGCAGAAATTTTTTCATAAGGAAGGAATCTCGAATTGGAGCCCATATTTCAAGGATATATTTTACTATATCACATTTCAACGTTTGAATACAGATGTAGAACTCTCCTTCGTACCTAACGACAGACCTTCAGACGACCCAGGTAGATTCTATTTCCAGAAATTTTATCATTTTTACAAGCATTGGACCCAGATGCTCGATGCTAAAAGGGGATACAAAAGGCTGGCCCAACTTCAGGCAGACCAGAAGTGGCAAGATGAATCGGCTGAAAGAGAGGGTAAGCCTAGAGTCAAGCTCACTGATGTTCCTCAATGGCTATTTGATGTTGAGAGCGATTGGTCAGTTGCACAACCCAGGTTGATGATCGAGACACGTACCTTTACAGCTCATAAGCTCTCAAGTCTCAAAATGACTATGCCACAATGGTGAGAGTTGCAAATATAATGGCTTTGGTTGGACCTTTTTGATGTTGGTGCTGTTGGACAATTTGAATTGGTATTACATAATTGATTCGTGTTCTGGAAACTGTGTTGTTCATACGCGGCTAGCTGTACATGAGAACTAGTCCTTGAGTTCTATTGCCATACAACTATTGTCTCTAGTCTTGGGTCTGATTTGAAGCTGAATATTGAGGATAGCATATTTTCAGAGATTTTGAATGAGATTCTGCGATTCTATCGAGACGGATTTGGTATGGGGGCATTTGGTTGGGAAATATAGCAGCGCATGATGTATGATATGGAAATTTCTGCAAGAAATTTCCAAGGAGGGAGGACTTTCAAGTTAGCGTTGAGAAATTAAAATGATAAGGACCGATTCAAGGATTTTCTGGTCCGAGAGTTACAATAGTGAAAGATTAATCTGTACAAATAATGATATTTGAAAACTGAAAATTTCGATCAAGCCGTGAAAATAAGCTGGCTATGTATTTGTTAAAATTCAATATAGACTATAATGAGTGTACCGCTGGTAATACTGGCTTGTTTCTTAGATTTTCTTACGGCTATTGGATGACTATAAACAGAATATTCATAAGGGATATACGTGAGTCTTGCTTTAGTCTATAGAGCTATAAATTCGTATACTCCGCGTCTTAGACGAAGTAAATATGCCTCTATTTTGTTAAAATTAAAGATAAAACATTTAGTAATAAAAGTGTACTGAATACAATAAACTGGAAAAGCGTTATGAATAGCGATCAGCTACTTCAATCGGGAGAAGTTATGAAACTTCTCAGTTGAGAGAAATGGGTTGAAAAATAGGAGTTGATTCTTCCACTTATAATCATTTCTTTGCAATTGCAATTACACGTCCAACACGGCAAGTTTCCACGTGGACTGTTGTATGAGTGACACAATATCGACATGTGATTTGATGACTGAGTCTATTCTGTTTTACATCAATGTGAATTCAAAGAACGCGAGCTCTAGCGCTCAGTTATTTGTCGAGACTTACAAATTGCATTGATCACCAGGCTTCAATATAGGATTATTGGATGAAGAGAAAACTTGGTCTGCTTGTTTTTATCAGTCACATTAATCCTTATATTAGTGGATCGTCACTGTTTGGTGCATTTAGCCACAATCTCATTACAAAAATCACTATCAATCATTTGAAATTAATGTTCTTTCTTGATTGTTTAAGAAAAACAAATGCATGGGACCTTTGCCACAATTTTGACATTTTCAACCCTCACTTGGAATTGCTTTTCGGACATTAACAGTATCAAATCCCTGAGCCACCACTTCATTACCATGTTTCTCATCTTCAGATACTCTCGAAGTCGCTATATCTACAAATTTTTATTTCTACAAAGTATAGTTCAATTGCTGCCAATGAATTCAAGATCTCAACATTTAACATTGTGCTATAGTTGGTTGTGAACGGAAGGAACTGTTATACACGCCACTCGGCCATTTCTCGAGAGTAAGTAAACTTTCCAGAAAGCCTGCCAAAACTCTCAGCTAATGATAGAAACCACTAATCACTATGGACTTTTTCTTATGTGTCAATTTGCTAGGTAGCGACAGATCATTAGTCACAAACTTCCCTTGTGTAGCCCCCCATTTTCGCTAATTTGACCAATCAACGCGGGCCACAAACTCACTCCGCATTGGCATATTCTGAATAATTGGGATACAGGTATGTTATGTTAAGATAAATATTCTATTGAGTGATGATATATCATGATAGAATTGCTAAACTAATACATTTCCGGTGTTTTCCACCTTCTACCCAAAGCCTAGGATTTCCCGAAATGATTTCCCGTCAATCCTCCAGTCCATTCCTCTCCGCAAACAATCTATCTCCCAAAATCGTGACGGAGTTGACAGGATTTGCAACCATTTCTCGTTGCTCTGGTCTAGTCCATTTTCCACGGCAGTCAAACAACCACTGTGGACAAGCAGCAAGCTTGACGCACTCTCGGCTGTGCTTCTTGTTTTTCTCATCTTCAAGAAGTTGTTGCTTCAGGATTTTTTGAAGATTCCCAAAAGATGTGTTTTGTCGACGCGAAATCTCCATTTTCGACTTCATCATCTTGGGAGGAAATGCTGCCCTACGATCGAACTTAGTAAATTCGATGTCTTCATCATGTTGAACCAAATATCGGGAGGTGTAGATTGTGACCTCTCTGATATCTTCATTCATCCAAAAAGGAACCGTTAGGGTCGAGAATGAGCCCCATTTGTCGCAAGGAATTGATGCAGATCTCTGGAATGCACAATCATTCAGAGCAATGCGTTCAACCTTTACATCGCGCATCTTCTGGGTCAAAGCGTCGCATTGGTCATCAGTCATGGATGTCATAGGACAGATGAGATCGGTTGAAGGGTTGATCCAGATGGATGCGGCTGTTCCAGTACCCAATGTAGTAACAAGTGGGAATTCCATTCGCGTGTCAAAGACGGGTAAATAGAACTTCATGGCGATAAATCTGGATTCGCCGTTTGCGTGGAGGACCCCCGGAATTGAATTACGACTCCTGAAGGTATAGAATAGCAAGTCGCCATGACCTTGAGAGAATTTCGCATCTAAAACCCTATCACTCGAGAACACTGTGACGGTGCGCTCATCTCGGCAAGCCTCTTTCCAGATCACCAGTCGCAATTCTGTTGGCAAGCGAGGAAAGAAGTGGAACGTGCTTAGGTGCTTTTCCAAAAAGCCCAAGGACTTCTGTTGGGAGCTATTGAAGCTCTGGGGGGTTGTTCTAAACATGTTTCTGCTTCGGAAAGTTGGAAGTTCGGCTTTGTGTAATAGGTTGATAATATTAGTGTTGAGGAAAGCTGATGGAGCTCAGAGCTCAGGAATCTTGTTGGAAGAGGAGATTTATATGTGAAATCTGGTTTGATTTGATTGATGTTGTAAAGAAGAGGATGTAATAATCAGAAATTTGAACGGGAAAAATTAAAGCTTCTAAGGGAATGGGAACGAGCCAATTACAACCAAGCTAAGCGAATAAGACCGTAGCAAGGACGCGCGAGTTATTGAACGTTGTATTATAAATCGGATGAGTCAAAAAATACCGTAAATGAGTTGATACATACTTGGTACGAAAGCTCGCTTATCATTACGGTGCAACAGCGCTAGGAAACCTAAAGAGCTGCACTTGTGTAAATGATTGAGTGTAGTTGCTGTGCAAAGTTACGAGGGTCTAGTTTACCGGGCTAGTACTAGCATAAGACGTGTTCATGACAAAATCCACATGTAGATTACAATGCAGTTTATAGGATTTATTAAAAAATTGCAGATATGATTCAGAGACAACTGGTTGCTCAAAGGTAGAAGATCTGGCGAAAAAGTTGATGCCATCAATGAGGTCACAAACGCTGACCACAGTCCGTCGAGGATTGCTGTTCTTATACATCAATTCCTTTCTCCCAGAAACCAATTTCAATTCTCGTGACCACTTGAACATCACGTATCCTTTTTCCATTCCACAAGCCATCCCTACGTCTTTGCTCGTGAATTAGAAGTAACCATAATTATCACTAGATAATCTTGATACACACTCATTGAGAACTCTTAGACTTTCACAGGGTCTGTGGTTCTTGAGAATACATTTCCATTGAACGTGGCGAGGATGTCCTCATTCTTGAATAAATAAGTCTGAAGAAATATCATTTATAAAAGACTCCACCTCCAGAATTCTTATCCAAACTCCCTACTAGTTCTAACGCCAATGAAGCAAGAACTTGTTCCTGGGTCTCTGCCAGTTGCCTGATCTTTCGAAAAGCCATTCTGGGCATTCAGGTAACCTCTGTGCCGGGTTCCTTCGTTGCCCTTATCATGATTCTTTCTGACTTGTCGTGAATGAGTTGCGGCGAGTTCCCTAACCAAATGAGTGGAACAATCTCATCGCATCACAGCAATAAGGTAGTCCAAATTCTGATGAACCATGCAATATGCTTATATCTGTCCCACAAAAGAGCTCTGTAGGTTGATCATGAATCCAAGATTGTAGCCTCAGTGTCTCTTTCGACCCAGCCGGCTTTATGGAACCATTTCTGGGGCAGAGGGCGTAATTGAAATACCCTCTGAGAATATTAAGAGTAGGGAAGATGTCTATGGCAATCGTCTCTACATTTAAATCTCTCAAGCTTTTCACAAAATGACTACTCATTGAATTTACCGGCCAAACAATATCAGAAGTTGGATTTAGATAGATGCGATGATTCTCTATCTCTGGTAGGTCTAGCTTGTTGAAATCCTTTTGAGCGGCGAAGCCGGCTTTGTAATGCCGTAAAGCTATTTCTCGAGCATTTGCATTGACGTGCATGATGGCTGGGACGGGTTGATTACTTCGGAAGCGAGAGAGTGACCTGAGATCTAAGTATCCGCTATCGATTGCGACCTTAAACCGCGATTCACGTATCCATACGATACGTTCGTTATAACAGGCTTCCTCGAATATCATTGACTCAATATCTGCTGGGAATCGCCGACTGAAGGGAACATCTTTATTGGTTGCGGTATCGTGGATTGTGGAAATACCGTTGTTGGTAGACATATTGATTCCGTTTGCATGTTTTTCTTTGGAGCTCATTGAATGCGCTTTTCGTTCCAATAGACCTGACCGAGGTAGATAGATGGAATGTTGAAGATTTGAAGATCGACCCCAGTTTTGATATCAAGAGAGTTCTATTTGTAAAGAAGCCAATTAGCAACAGCAAAATGTTGCAACAAATTCAGGTGTGAATTATTGATGGTTGGGAAATTGACTTACCTTTTCAATCGTATTTGGAAGGTTTATAGAAAGTTAATGTCTTGATAATCTATATGATCTTAATGAAGTCAAGAAACTAATATCGAGTATGCGTCTTTATATTCACAAGATTTCCTATGAAGATTAAACTCAATCTTGTAATAATCTTTGTCGAGTTTACTTGGGACAGAGATAAAGTGATTATTAAATAGCTAAATGACTTTATTTCGCTTAAAAATAATCGCACTAGTATCTCGCTAGTTTATTAACAATGTTTTGATTGGTGCTGGGTGAATTCATACATTTAATACCTGGGTAGGTAGTTGTAGAAAACAGGCGGCTGTACTATATTTTACGTGATGCTCCGATTGACTTGAATTATTGATAGAAAGATTTGTTTCACGAGTCATTGTAGGACGTCTAGGCCTAGGAATAAGCAAGTCTCAAAACTCAGCAATGTGGTTATAAATATACACAAATTTCGCAGCTGGATGTATGGTGGTTGCGATACGAGTGAATATACACGCATGAGCACGCACTAGAGCACAAGTGTAATGCACATAGCTTTCGTAGCTCTGAATCTAGAATAGAACACATAAAGACCTATTTTGAGACATCATAATCAACAATAGCAATAAAACCATGCTCAAAAGTCTCAAATCGTAGCACTTTAAATATTCTCAAATTTAAAGAGCTTCATATGTTTTGATGAATGATAACGTTTCCATGACAAATATGGGAGCTCATAATCTGACATTTCTATAATTCGTATCTGTAATGTGCACTGAAATATTTGCTGCAGTTACCGGAATTGATCAAAGGATACTGATTAAGATTGAGGGTCATTAATATATAGTTAGTTTGGTATAGTTAATACTGATATAGTCCCTTTGACTTGTCTGTAAATATTCGACGGTTCACTTATACATTGATTACAAAACATAGAGTCACGGGATACATAAGGAAGGCACAAGATCCATGATGAACCAATTACTATGCTATTATGGAGAATTGTCAGAATTGAGTCTGATTTATGTAGCTAAGATAATCTAAGATGAAATGTAGACCCAAAGCTCATAGCTCAAGTATCTGCGAAGAATAGAATATCTTCCTATTATCATAACCGAAGAACTAGAGGAATGCCCGAAGCGATATTTATCACTCTAGTTCTATTCCCCCAAATTCTGTACCCGTGCACCTTTTGGTAAAAGCCGAATAATAAGTAAGTTTTCAGAACCTCAGTTGCCAGCTTAAAGGAAGAAACCACGGCCTGCAGAATGCGCTGTGTGACCACTCATGATTTAACTCGGAAGTACCTATATCCCCCAGCGAATATATTTTGTCGTTAAACTATGCACCAAAACAACCAATGTTCTGCATCCGACCCAAAATTCCACCATGGCCTCAATCTACAAGGCCACACAGCGCATGAGCTCCGGTCGAGTCCATGTTTTCCGATGCATATAGAGCCAGCTAGGCATGTGAACCAATCTTTCACCCGACATCTTATCTAATTCATTCTGAGCCTTTTGAAAAGAATTAAGGTTCTCAATCAAATCTCCCAGTTCTTCAAACATGGTGTCCGCCTCCATAGAATGCATCGTGACTTCCTCGGAATGTTGTTCGAGATTAAGCTTGGTAGAATTGACAATTCTCAGAGGCTGACGATAGATATTGATGGGATGTAGCGAGCTGTAAGCCAGAATCTGGCGAAGATTATGATTCATCCACTTTGGAATGACGACAAACGTTTGCAATTTGTCCGTTAGCCGGGAACATCGAAATTCAAAAGAATCAATGCATAAGCGTTCGATATTGAGGCGATTGATTATCTGGCTGAATTTCAAGAATTGGAAAACTGTCCAGATGGAACTGCCGTTGCGTACAGGGCAGATGATATCGATGTTAGGCTTCAACCAGATACGTGGGAGTGGAGATGAAGTATCAGAAGTTGGTGCATAGATGTCAAGCTTTTGTGATTCTCTTCGAGCTTCGTGACAGACTTGCATGATGGCAGGAGTCTCGGATGTAAATCGGAATCCGACGTCGTCGTTTTCTCGGTCGGTATAGACGGGCCAAATAGGAACTGCTCTTGGTTCTAGAGATGCAAATTCATATATCTTGATTCGGAGTTCCAGTGGAAGATCCATGAATTGATGGAATGTGTCTAGATGGGGTTTACGAGATTTCTCTTCGAGGTCAATGGTTGAGGGTACGATTGAGTAGTTTGGTGGGGGAGGTGGAAGAGACTGTAGGCAATTTTCCTTTGCCGGAGACTCTTGAATGATGGGTGAGCCAGGGGATTCTTCTTGTGGCTCCTCTTTAAGCGAAGAGACACCAGGACCGGTGGCATTTGGCATTAAGCTTCTCTTGTGACTTGCAGCTCCTGCAAAGTGATCGAAAAACGAGTATGACATCTTTTGTGGTGATGATGTTACTAAAATTCAATAAATGCAAGATTTAATGGTGAGACTATTGTATTTCGATGGTGGAGAGATAAATAGTAAGTTTGTGTCAGTAACTTTGATGTTGACAAATGAGAATGAAGGAGTTGATCGATGGGGGTAAGCTCCCTTTAAGTAAGTACCCCAAAGCATTAAATACTTTTGCTTACGGTCATGATTTGTCAGGTTTACTTACGGTATCGCGAACTTCGAACGCGATGAGTATACGTTACAGACCTACTCATGCAGCCATACGGCTTTTAAAGACATAAATTTTCACCGTAAACATCTATCTAGACACTAACAATTGTGGCGTCGATTAAGATCGCTAATCGAAGAAGCAACGGCAATTTTCAAGGTTCGCGTCATTTACGTGGCGCTGTCTCTCCAAACTTGATTTTTTATGCAATTATATCTGTGACCCTTTCCCGGGGAAACGGCGAACTACGCTAGAATATGTATGAAATTTGGCCATATTCTTACAACAACCGTAAGTGTGATGTAGAAACAGGTATTTTGTGAAATGGCATGGTGATGACAAAGCTAGGCAATCATTGGAACTGCAAATTCATGAGTTTGTCAATTATCAGAGATTAAGCATCGCAATCTTTCTCGCTCAGCGAGATTACGATTGAACATACATATTACCCCTGAAAGACTATCAAAACTTGCATATCTCCAGCATTCATCGTCTCGCTTACATCTTTCACCCATATAAATACTTTTCGGTCCGCTGATCCATCAAGAAGCTGGCACTTAACGGAACAAGTAGAACCGCACCCAGTTCGAATATGCTTCGTCCCACTTTTCAGATTCTTGATTCCGATTTGATAATTAAATAGTCTCACAAGCGTTGCATCTTCTCTAAATCGTAAGAATAGTTTTTTTAGCGGTGTCAACCATGTTGTCGAGAAATTATAGCATTATCGAGCAGCTACATGACTATCGCAGGACCATCTTGAAATGAACTAGGCCTGGTATATATCCAAACAATTTAGAAACCTATCCTGCAGCCCCAACCACCTTGCCTAGCTTGCCTATAAACCTGCTCTCAACAAAAGGATAGTCATATCGAATCGGAAATATCATCCTCTTGATTGTCCAGTCACAGTCCTTAACTATATTTTGCTCTGGGTATTCCATCTTCCATAGTACGAGCTCGCTTGAACATTCTATTTCCTTCGTATTCCTATTATAGGGGGCCCCTGTAGTTGACATAGTAGATGAGACACTCGAGTTCTCAACGATTAAGTATGAATTAAAATCTTAGTACATAACCCTGTGGGATGAGTAAAAACACCTCTTAAACCAGTCGTAAACTATTTTGTGGCAGTATCAACTGAACTCAATGGAGTCCAGCCTTTCCAAGTCCATATCTCATTCTCGCTACCACCATCACTCGTCCTTCCATATATTACTATATTCCCCACTTTCACTGCCGGCTTTTTCCAAGAACCAACGATGTGATTTTTAAGTCTCTCAGGGACCGGTTTACCTTCTGCCAACGCTCGTGTAACTTCTTCGTCCCACCGTCTTTCGTCCTTCTCAATATCTGCAACATGTGCATCCAATGCCTCTTTCTCCTTATTACAAATTAAATCAACCCCAGTAATAGGTTCAAATTCAATCGTTAAATTCCTCGATTTCAGTCTATCATAGAACACAAAAGGCTCGTAATAAATGAGTATTTCATTGAAACGACGCCCCAGAGATTTTGACAATCCTGGGTCATAATGATCAGAACGAACGGCAACTTTATGCAACTTTGTGCCACACAGACGTTCATCTGAATTAATCATGTTGCTGAAGGCACCATATCCATGCTGATTTGTCTGCGCAGCAACAATTCTGTCTGTATCCCAATTGACATATATTCGCGGCTCACTGATGATGTTCATTCCATAATATGTTGGAATGTTGATTCCGAAATCCAATTGATAGAATTTGAGGCCGATGGTACGAGATTCTCGAGATACATGCAGAATTGAGGGTATGGCACTAAGAGTTACCCAGCGATTCACCTGACAGGCGAACCGCCTTCGTTCCTCTTCAAAATGTCCGAGACGTCGGTACCAAATGTCAAGGTTGCGTGGTTGATTGGCAACGAGTTCCCAGATTTTGAATCGTATTTCAATGGGTAGTTTGAGGAATCCAATGGTATTGGGAGCGACGGGTCTAGGAACAGACGGGGTTTTAATGATCTGATCCATGATGAATTGAATATTGATAGATGTCTGATGTATAAGGCCAGCGGATCTAATGTGAATCCAAGTTTTTGAATATAATGCGATGTTTTCAGAAAACAATGTATTCTATCTAAGTCGATCCAGATATATGAAGCGCTCTGATATAGAACTGCAGTTCCAACTATTGAGAAGCCTGATTGATGTAAAATCGAATGAGAGTTTTAGATGATATCGGCCCCCTGATGCATTGATGAGCCCTCAGACAGGTGCGATCGAACGAAGTACTATCCTCTAACTTTCTTTGGTTCTATGCCGAGTATAAGGAATTGAGATATCGATACTGTCGACTTGATAGTTCAGAGAAGAACGATGTGTTCTCAAGCAGAAACTTTTGAAAACAAGGTAGCAGCGCCAAGAGGTGATGTCAAGATGCCGATAGTCGGGCTTACATACACACTTGACCAATCGGAGGTTCGAAGGACCGTAGAAGCTAGAACCACTCGTTGCTGGCCCCACATTCACAACCTCCATATTACCTTCTTGAGTATATCGTCATGAAATATTATGAAGCATTTGAGCATGAGCATTCAAAGAGGAAGAGACTAGGTAATTTTCATTGAGAAATCGAGTCTGAAGTGTTCCATTGGGCACTTGGGATCACTTCACTGCTTCTGGCATTGACATTGAATTCGCGATTATTTGGCATCACAGTTATTGGTTTCCCTGTATATCAGTCAACAATGTCATCGAGGGTGATAGGATTTGTTGCGATAACTTACATGCAGCATAAAGTTATCATTGTACACAAGATATGATACAATCCACATCTCCTGACAAAGATCGAGATACACGACCATCCCGTCATTCGAAGCATTTTCAACCAGCAAACGCAAAATACGCCTGTCACTTTACTTCCACAACACATGCCTCTTCTACAGCATCAAAACCAACTAGTCTCGCTAACGAATGCGTTCAACTAGACATTTTCCAGACCCCGAGCTAAGTCCTTCATTTGCAGACTATTATTCCTGATCATCATGCATTCACTTCTTATGGTATGCGACTCTTCGCACCTCCCAAACACCCTCTCCTCCATCCGACCCAACAATTCCATCCACGACCTTCCCATCCACAAACGAATCCAACACTCTCATCTCCTACTCACTGCGCACGTGAATTTGCAAGCCATCCCACCAACCATACCATCCTCACGGCAAATGAGAGTAAACCTCATAGATCTTCATCACCAGATAAACAACCACAAGCACCCAAATCACACCCCAAAGAAACGCCTTCACAAAAAACATCCAAAACGCGAAGAAAAATACAAAAATCGGTGATGCCCAGAGAAGCATCGTCCACAGGATATAGAGCATCAGCAATGTCATAAATACGGATGTGAGGGGGCCCCCCGTGAATTCAAAAAGCAGGGACATGATGGGTCGTTGATGAACTGATATTTATCGTGAAGTTGATGGGTGAAATGAGGTTTCAGAGTGGTGCTGATTAGGAGGATTGGGGATACTAGTGGTCAAATTACCCATTTTTGAAGTTCAATGTTTGGTTTTGCTGTTCCACAGAGATGCGTATGCATGTATCCACATTTGATCTTTGTGTGCAATGCTACACTGTTCACGTGATACCACTCGGAATACTCTGTATTACCTTGAAGCAGATAACATTGTAGATATCGACGCATGCTGGTAATACAATGTGCGTAAACTTTCTAGCAATGATTTTTGTGGTGTAAAGTTGCTGAAATTACTATTCATCACTGGCTAACAGTTCAACAGACTTCAATATTTTCATAATAATGTTTGTTGAGTTATCAATCTATCTACTACCCCTCCCCTAATTCCCCAATCCTAAAGCTAACCGTCAAAGGTCTTCGCCTAAACCCCTCGTACTCTTCCTACCCAGCCAAATAATCCGAGCAAACATGGCAATCCAACCCCCCTCCAACAAACAACCCCTCACTCCACCCTCGAAAAACAATTCAGACACCCCCTCTCACAATGCCAAGTCTCAAACGGATTCTTCGATCCCATAATCCCACTAAGCGACTTCGGAATTGCATGCATCAACAGGCTCAACCTGGGAGGCGTCCACTTCTCCAGAACCTCTGTTGAGAGATGGTGAAAAACGGGTATTCTGGTCAACAATTGATGTGTCGGCGGACCCGCAAGACCCTTTTCAACATCATGACGGTCCTGTACCATTTTAGGAACTAGGTCTCTATATCTGGTGATAGATCTATGGACATCCGTAATTGCAATTCCGAGTGCGCATTGATCTGTCTCTTGGATGGTATTCCAATCGATAGACGAGACGATGTGAGGAAAGCCTCGAGATCCATCTTCGTATGAGTATGAGGTTGCGTAGTCTGTTCCTGCGTAGAGAGTGATTGACTTCAAGGCGTGAGGAGGACGCACGATACTGGTTAGCCATTGATCGAGAGCCGCCGATCCGATGAACTGATTGGCTGGCGCACCCCATTGTGATTGGTCGAGTGCGATGCTCTGACACTGGGCTTTGTGCATCGCGGCTACGAGCATAACTGTGATATCTCCGAATAGGTCGCCGACGGGGCAAATGACATCGCAGTGGGGATTGATGTAGAATCGGGGAGCGAGACCGATGGAAAAGAATCTGAAGTTGTGCTCGGCTACAAGGGCTTTCTTGTAGTATCTCTTAACTTCTGCTCTCGACACTCGGCAAACACTAAATAGTGTGGGAATGGGAGTATCGGATCGAAATCTGACAAGTTGTTTAGTTTCATCTTCTCCGGTGACTTGCTTGCTAAGAGAATGACATCGCTTTGCAGCCACGGGTACATGGCGACGTTCAAAAGAAGCGAATTTCCACACCAAGCGTTGAAGCTCAAGGGGTAGTTCAGGAAACTTCGTGAAGGATTTTGGACGGCTGTGTGAAGAGAACATAGTTTTGGTAGGTAGTGATTTGACAATGGGTGTTGATGATGCGTTGAATATCCAAAGTGAAAAAGATTGCAAATGTCTTTGAGTGAGTATTTCGTAGGTATTGCTTTGGTTGTCTGTATCGAATTGGGCGTTAATGGAGGAGTGGGATTTCTAGGAGGATTGTAGAACTTATATAAGCTAGCTCATCAACCGTTCATACAGCCAAGACGCCGTAAGCTCATTGAAACGGTAGAGAAAAGTGTACCTCTGCTGTATTGGCATCATCAAAACTGTATCTCTTGATCCAACTTCATCCAAAGAATAAAGTTCTGTCAGAATTTCCGTACGCCGTATCATGTTTGACAAAAACAACCCTAAAAATTCGACCAAAACTTCCCAGATGCATTTCCATCATACCGTACTAAAACCATCGCCGTCATCGTATCGCCGTACCTCTCTCAGTTTGTTGACAATAGTCGTGATTAAGTTTCCACGTACCGTACCATCTACCACAAACAACACACCAAATCATTATCCTAAAATCCAAACCCAAAGCCCGCATTTCCATTCCCCGTACCTCCCATTCCAATACCCCCCAATCCAATCCCCTGCATTCAACCAATCAACTTGTCCCCACATCTCTTCCATGCCCATTCCCTCGAGCGATTCCAGTCCCGCATTGAAATCCAAACTTGCCGTAAACTCATCAAAAACCGTCTGTCCAGTATGCGCAGGCTGCGGTAGGAAATTAGCACCTGCATTGTCCCATACTTGTGGTCCCTCAGCTCTTATTCCATTTTCAATCCCCGTGTTATTTGTAAATTCTTGGGCCTGAACTTGTGTTGGATCAATTGTGCTTTGAGCCATCCTGGAAGGGTCTTCTTGGCTAGAGTTGCTTTTCTCCTTCTCCCTTTCCACTTCCCTGTCAAAATCTCCCCCATCGAGAACCCACTTCAAAACGCGCCCCACCACTCCCCTCACCCTTCTCAACAATGCATAATTCCCATCCGTATCTCTCACCCAATCCAAAAACGCACCAAAGAGTGTCAATCTCTGAATTGCTACACTTTTGGGAAATCTCGCCATTGTTTTCTCTTGAGTTCCGATTTTCCTCGTTTCAGAGCCAGAAGCAGAGGCGGAATTTCCACTTACTCTTTTTAGCAACTCCACACAGATTACACCTGCCGCTGGGATTCCATAGCTCGTAATAAACCAATCGAAACAGAACTCAAATCCAACCAACACATCCCTCTTCTCCCACATCATATTGACCTTTTCCAACATTTCTATTGCCGTATCCAATAATCCCTGGATATAATTCCCTTCTAGACTATTTGCTACTGCAAGCCTATATAGCAAAAGGGTGTTGTGTAGCGCTTCAAATGAAAAGATTAATTGTACAAATAGTAATCTCCCTGTTGATGTTGGATTAAAACTGAATTGCGGTGGCCAATTCAGAGTTAAAGAGGCAGTACGAGAAAGAAGAGAATCTATGCGTTCACGACTGATCTCCACATCCACACCTAAAGCTCCCTCTAATATCTCTTCTTTGATCATGTAGATTTGTAAATTGACTCTATAGCAAGTACTACAATAAACTTCACCTTTCCGATTCCATCCTTGCTCATCGCATGCAGCTATTGCTTGTTGCATTTGGGCACGGGGAAGGAAAAGTTCTGTTTCCGAGAGATCGGAAGGCATTTGGAGACGGCAATAGAGACGAGAAATACCAGGCGGTGTGCCGTTGAGAGCTGATGAACATTTGTCCATGTAGTAAACTGTACTGAATAATCGACGCTTGTATTCGGCGGTGGTGGTTAAGAGGCGTGGAGGGAGATGGGGGAGACGGTGGAGTCCAATAGCACACGCTGATGTTACCATATTTCCATGTCGGTTGAGATTACTATAACCTTAATGTTTGAGTGTTATATTAGCCCATCTTCTGAAACGGGTATGATTGTGACTGAGTCCTTCAAATCGAATGAAAAGTAACATACTCTCATCTCCCACCACTGTACTTTCCAACACATAAATAGACACCCGAAATGCAACCACAATCTCATTTACCGTATCCGTGCAATCACACATTTTCCCCATAACATCCGCACACTCGTTCATTCTCCAACTTGTTTGTCTTCTATTCCTTCCATGATTTTCCTCTTCTAAAAACAATGGATTTCCATCCATCAGACTCTGGTATGCTCTTCCTATGAAGCAGAATAAAAGTCCCATAGATTCAAATCGAATGTTGGGCCCGCAAAAAGTGTCGAGCCACGCGACACCATCGTCCGGAGATGAGGGTAATGGTGTTTCTTCGTTTCTGAGTAATGTTTCGACGAAAGGTACAAATTTCTCCTTACTACAAGGTTCAGCTAGGATTGAGCCAAATGTATCATAGATACTCGAAATCAAATATTTGATCATGAATTCGGGCAGGACTGAGAATTCGAGAAGATCGTGATACCGCTCTAGAAGTTTATTACAGCTTGAAAGTGACGGTATGTTCCAAAGTGCTTTGGTGATCATTTCACAACGAATTGTGTAAGATGTCGGTCTATTCGTTCCTAGCTTTGAAAAGATTAAATTTCCAAAAGTCGAAGTGAAATGTTATATGGGGACTCACAAGCGGGGGGCCAAAAGGCCACGAACTAGGATTTTTCCTCCCATCGTCCCCAATATCCAATATTCCTCCTATTCCTCCTGCCAATGTCTCTCTTCTCCTCCCGCTCTCATCACTTTCTCCACTCCCTCTTTCCGCGTCCAATTCCTTCCCCTCTCCATTCCCATCACCATTCCTAAAAACAGCCCCAAAACTTGTAGGCCCCCAGAACCGTCTACTCCTCTTGTAACTAGCCCCGTTCCAATTGTTTTGCATCGTTGGTTTCCCAAGCATTGGATCTATAGAATTCGGAAAGGAAAGTTTATGTGATTGACGATTGGGGGTTGCTGACCTACATCCGCGGGAAGAAAGGTAGACATTGTTTGAGGGTTTTGTGGCTCGAGATTCAGCCTCGGTTGTGAGCATACCAAGAGAATTGTTTGGGGGAGTGACTGACTTGGAGATGTTGTGAGAGTGGCTTGGATTTGTCGAGAGCTTCTGTGCTTTCCCCGCCGCATTCCTCTCTCTCTACATCTCTCATGACCGCAGCATTGGCCAAGCTATCCAATCCTCCTCTTCCTCTTTCTGCATTTCCACCAACCCATTCTTTTCCATTTTCACCTCCCTCTCTGATTCTCCCACTGATTCGCCTCCTTTTCACGCTTCCCCCATCTCCACTCTCTTCCCCACCTTCCTCAGTTCTTCCTCTCTCCCCATCCACCTTCCCGCGACTCATAGGCGCGGGATGATACCAACACCTTCCCTCGAATCCCTTCTTCACACATCTCCCGCAATATGGCTGTTCATGCCCACAAGCCAATTTCCCAATCCTACACGGTTCACACGAAGGACGTTTGCCGTTTCTGCGTAGATTAGGTGCTGAAGACATAATCTTGTCTCCTCGAGCAAAAAGCCGAGCTCGCTAGGGAGATATATTCCGGACTGTTACAAATTCGCAACTCCTTGTTTTTTCAAATTCCGTTTCCAAACAGGAAAAGAATCAGGGGAGATCACGAGTCTCTGTGCT